CCCTAGGACTGACCATATCGTGTATAGAAACCTACGTACGAGGACTTGCTTGCCCGCTGACACGACATGCTCGGGTGGCTCTAACGGGGCGTCATGCTTCGTCTCGTAGACCGCCATAGTAACTACACGTACGGCCCTTTCCCTCTCCGTCCCGTCTTTCATCTGATTCACCCCACGCCTAGTACTGTGTGTAGCGTTGCTACCTCAGGCGCCGCGGATGCAGCAAAATGCCGGTAACGCCATCGCCATCGCCAATACTGCCACCATCGCCACCATCGTTGGAAAGAAGAACGGGTGTCAGGGTATCAGCTCCGCTACCGTTCAGGCTGCTAGTAGGCGCAGAAGCAGCAGGCGAAGGCCATTCCTTCGTAAATTGGACATTGGAAACTGATTCACGCTTTACCACAGAGTATCGTAGAGTCCTTCTACAGAGTACGCGGATGGATACTCATGTAGTATGTACAGTCGTCTCCCGTGAGAAAATCTGAAGACTTCCGCTCTGAACACCGATGATTCGTGACTCTGACCTTTTTCCACCTCTCACCCGCCCGAGGGTTTACAGCATCCCATTGTGCGCCTCTCGAGTGTTCATGGCAAGCAAATTTCCTGCGAAACAACATGCGGTGGACAGTGACTTCAATGTGCCACGCGCTTTATCGCATCTTTCGCGGGTACTGTACCCGTTGATGCCAACGCTGCACTGCTGTTGGCTGATTCCTTTACTCTGCGTGAACTTCCTAGGATGCTCCAGGTCCCGCAGGGTCAGTGAGGACACACGGCCTTTCGGAAGACGCTCTTGAAACACGATGAAGTTCATCCGTTCTATGTTTCGCTCTCACAGCCGCGCCTTCTCTTCTATCTACTTGGACGCATCTACCCGCATATGGATACCTTTGCGCCATGGTCAATGTCCTTGCGGTGCGCAGACACATGAGCTCATCATACATCGTGCAGTCTTCGAGTTGCATCGCAAACTGCCGGCTATCGTCATATAAGGAAGGTATCCTGATCCTAGTCCATCTTGTAACACTCCCCAAACCACACCATGACGAACTGGACAAGTCCGCACGTCTTGATGGCCCAAGGGTGTGCGTATCTGATCATACCTACGGTGAGCTCTAGCATGTACTAATACAACTTTCAGCGGCTCTTCAGAATTACACTCTTGTGTTCCTCGGGCTATACATGTGTGTACATCCAGGTACCTCTCTCACGGTCACGCTCAATTGGGGATCTGCCTGTGGTGTCATCAGCTATGAGTTTGCGAGCTCGCTCACCTTCGACTGGTGGCTTATCACCAAGAAACGGTCGCAACAGTCCTCACCATTGGCAAGAAGCGTCAGATGGGTAGGTCTCGACCGTCTGATCTTCAACGGGGCATCAAATTTAACACTGCCCTAGTTATATTTGGCGTGTAGGCTTTGCGCATTGGCTGCGTCCATAACTTTGGCTGCGCCGTACATGCATATCGAGAAGTCGGAGTGTACGGTAAGCGGCGGTCACAAGCAATCCTAGATCCAAGCTCACTCGCACTGGCAGGCAAGTGTGAAGATGGCAGCAGTGAGTTGCTACAACAAAATAAGTGTTGGGCTAACTCCTGAGCTTAGATCTCGGGGGTGTTTGGTGTGATTTTGGCGACGGCCTTATTATTCATTCGAGTGTACGTGTCAATACTCGCCGTATGACACCGCCCAACAATGACTAGCTATCTATAGCGGCGTAGTGTGGCGATGGGACAAGCGTATCTCTGCTGCCTTCGTGGTTGTACACGCTGCCAATGTCGCACTGGGTGTCTACTGTGCGCTTTGTTCATCCTCACTAACACCACATCCTCTGACATAAGTATCCTATATGTCCAGCCACTGTGCATGTACGTTCCGAACCCAATACAGCGAGTTCACCCAGCTCAATGCCCTCAGATCAAGTCCTCGTACGTGGTCACGATCGACACGCCATCGCTTTGCGCTGCGTCGGGCTTCAAAACTGCGAATCAGTCAGGCATCTTCGCGATCCTAGTGACGGATGTAGGCCTTCTTTGCCTGCTGCTTATTGGTCTGAGGCGATGGGAACACGCCAAGGCGATGAGTCTGTGGCACATCCTTTGGAACCAAGTTAGTGCTCGCCAACGGGACTATCGGAGCCCATATCCTGACAACACGCACAGGGCTTTGTCTATCTAGCATTGTCCGTTATCGTGGAGCTTCCCTTGCTGGTGAGTATAACCGAGTCTCTGCGGATAGCCGACTGAGATGGCGCGGAAGGTATTTCTATTCCTCGAGCTGAATGGTCCGTGTTGCTTCCGTTTCTGAATGCATGTCACGATTGAGAGAGTGCACTGTGCAGACATTATAGCCGTCGTAAGTCTCGCGCCCATATTCATCAGTTCAGGTGTTCATTCCTAGCGCAGTTCTTCCTTATACCACAATGTCAGTGTACATCGCGCAAGTCTATCTTACGAAGCGCTCACTCTGAGCCTGTCATAGCCTTGATCCTGTATGTCTCATCTTTCGTCAGCGGCTTCCGACCTCTGAGCACATTTTCAGACCCATTGCTGCAGCACGCTGTTACCGCTCGTTGACAAACATGGCGGATAGTCGGAAGACATACGAGACAGTGTGCGTCAATAAGCGCTTCCAGAGTAGAGCGTCTTGCTCACATCCAGTCTGACAGGGATTTCCCATCACCTCCGAAGCCCGTGGTGCACTTATTTCCGGGTCGTCGTCGCAGGGCCAAGGACGATTCGAACGGGAACATCAGGGATATAGAGTTGGGGCCGTTATCCAGGGCTGAGGGTTAGAGCTTTCCTTGATGAAACCCTTGGGGTGTCAACGAACGTGTGTTTTTCGAGGCCACCCATCTGGTGTGATACGGGTTATCAAGCAATGTTGGAAACACGTGCCTATAACAGTCTTCTATAACGTGTATCTAGGCAGTCGAACTTCGTAGGAAACCAATATCGACCAAGTAGTGCAGCTGAGCAAGATCATGCTAAAATCATCCTGCGAGGATCCTCGATATACTCTTTCACACGTACTGCAGAACTCATCAGCATGACCACGAGGTGAAGAGTCCCGTCGCAAACGTACCAAGAAAGGTCGTACCCTCACGGCCGTCGAGTAGCCGATGGTCGTACGTGAGCGAGACAACCATGATGGGCCTAACGACGATTTGACCATTCACAGCAGTAGGCTTCTCCTTGATGGCATGCAAACCGAGCACGGCGCTCTGAGGCATGTTGATCATTGCTTGACCAAATAACGAGTCGGAGACGCCGCCGTTGGCGATGGTGAAGCTTCCCCCGGTCAAGTCTTCCAGTGTAAGTTGGCTGTGGCGTGCCTTCCTGCCGGCTGCGCTGAGAGCCTTCTCGAACTCAATGAAGGACATCGACTCCGCGTTGCGGATGGTTGGCGTGACGAGACCCTTGGGCGAGGCTACCGTCACAGAGAGATCAACGTAGTCGCGGTATACAACCTCATCGCCCTATTGCAGATGCAGACCGTCAGCAAGGTGCGCGAGCTCTGAAGACTGGCAGAGGCAAACAGACCTCGATGGAGGCATTCGCGACAGGCATGGCCTTCACGGCGAGGCATACCGCACGGGCGAAGGCAGGCATGAAGCCAAGGTCAACGTTGTGTTCCTTGAGGATCGTATCTTTGTACGCGTCGCGCATACTCATGAGGTTACTCATGTCGATCTCTTGGAAGGTAGTCAGGAACGCGGTTGTGTCGTGAGACTCCTTCATGCGTTCCGCGATCCGCAACCTCACGCCGCTCATCTTCACCTGTAAGACGTCAGTGTGGATGCTTTGCACGGGGAGCTGAATGTCGAACGACGAACACGAGTCTCGTTGCGATTGCTCCTCCCGAGAGCAGCGTGTTTGGTCTCTTCCTCCGACTTGGTAGTTGACTCGGATGACTGCTTGGGACCATTCGTCTTATCACCTGCGTCCTCACGTACTGCGGTAACCCCGGGCGCTGTGGACAATTGGGTAGGTAGCGGGGTTGGCTGATCGACTTTGGTAGACTCCATTTGCTCCTTCTCCGGCTCTGCGCGCTGTGATTAGACACACGAAACCAGAGAAGAGCGAAAGGGGGCGCACCGCTGGCCACCTCGCCATATTCAATTCGGAAAAGGTCTTGGCCAACACGCACTGTGTCCTCCTCGCCAACAAGTATCTCGACGATCTTGCCTGCTCTGGGCACGTTCACGGAGACATTCATCTGGTCACGAGCAATGAGTGCTTTATACAAGCATCGACGAATGCGCATGCGGCGTGCCTTGTCTGTCTCTATCATCGCCACCTCCTCATCGGCATTGACGGTCTCGCCAACTTGCTTTGACCACGTTTTGAGAGTGCCCTCTGTGATCGAATCCGCCATGCCGGGAACCTTGATGGTGTCGGCTGTTAATGGAGTCAGTATCCTGTAGCGCCCACTCGATGCGGTTTGCCGATTCAAGGCCCATAGTCCCAAGCTTCATAAGCCGAGGCGAACTGTGCCACTCAGTGCGCACGTCAGGCTTCAAAACCTCGCGTTTGGCACCGTAGGTCTTGCGCGCGTGGATCCCCGTGGACACGGTCCTCGCTTCATTGCAAACACGAGCTGGAGTGACGTACCACGAATGATCCTTGTAGCATGAAGTGTTCTCAAGCGCGTGGTCGGCCTGCGCTCTTGGTCAAGACGCATCCCTCCGATACAATGGCGAGGACATACCACCCACGAGCCGTGACCAGCGTACGCCGGAGCGGGGCGCCCAGAGCCTGCGTAGAGAACATAGGAAAAGAGACAGGTGGAAAGTGTACTTGGAGCAAGGGGACAATGGTGTCTGAAGCGCCATAGAGTCATGTATTGCCGCTTGAGCAATGAACACGTCGGGATCGGCGGGAGCCCGGTCGCCCGACGAGCATTGTCATACAGTTTGATCACACAACAAGATGTTGATGCTGTTTCAGCTTTTCGCGCTCGCGGAGCGCAAGTAAGACAGCGTGGCAGCTGTGACATGGTGGAATATCATGGTGCAATCATCGTGCATGGTGGTCGGAGGCAAGTCTGTTGAGCGTCCTTTCGATCGCGCGCCGCGCGTTTCGCGGGTTTCCCGGCGTAATCCATCCCGATAAACGCTTGAGCGTTACAATTACTACTGTTTCTCACACAGACGGAGCTGCGCTCGCAACCGACCGGTGTTTCCGAATACACAATGGTTCTGTCAAGGGCTCCCTCGCACTCTACGGTGTCCAGTGAAGCCAATATCGACGCGTTCCCCGACAAATCTGGCTTCGCCTCGAACCGCGATGTACAGAGGCCATATACAAGACGGGCCTTAGCCTATCCTCATCATACACAGCATACGAAGACAGTATCGACTAGACCATATCACACGACCGAGACATCCCTCCCATCGAGATAGTTTCTCACGTCTCCCGTCGATCGCTAATGTGTTGCTGCCTGAGCTCGCTGTACATGGAGCAAAGAAGAAGGGCATACCTCAATCCAGCGAATTCTAGCCTTAATCGAGTCGATGGCTTGCGCAAGTGCCATGCTGTACCAGGCGGTGTCCTTCTCCTTGAAGAAGTCGCGCACATGTTCGAGGTCTTCCTGGGTAGAATAGCCCGAGTATGTGGACGTGACAAAGTGGCGCATGGCGGACGTGCCCTTGAACCGTTCGGAGAGCTGTCAGTTATTGTCAGCGGAAGTGCAGGCTGAGGTGAAAACTCGTTGCCCACCGTTTCATACTCCTGCTCGAAGTAGTCCCGAACACGACGCCTTGCTTTGTGGTTTGCATTAAGACCGGCGAAGAAGTGTACGACGTCCTGATTGCGAGATTTCGTGCGGATTAGTGTCAGAGTACGTTCAAACAGCGCCGAATCCTCCGTTGCTCCAAGTGCACGGCTGAGTTTCATCAGTGACCTGTTGTCTCGAAAGGGTGCGAGACGTACATCGCGGCGATGTGCCCGCCAGGCCCTCTTCCAGCTTCATAGATCTCGAGTACAGCATCATACTCGTCCTTTCCACCATGCTTGATGGCTTGCGTGAACGTCGTATCCAACAGATCTGAAGGTATCGCGTCTTCTTCGCCCGCGATATACCTGGCGAACTTCGTCTTGAGCTCAGTGAGCACGAGTTCATCGCCTCCAGCAGCCGCGCCTCCGACGGTGATCGTGCGCAGCTGGGAGACGTCGGGGCCATCACTCTTGCCGTACTCTATTCCAAGATTCCTCGCGATAGAGCCATACAGGGAACGGCGAAATGCGCGGAGCTGTGTCTGGATTCGCTGGTCTTCCCACCACGTGGCAACGAGGATATTGAAATTGTCGGAGATGCCCTCCCAAACGAGATCTGTATACAAGATCAGCAGCGTGTTCACTTCATAGGAGAGTCTATGAGTGGGTACGTACACTCTGTTTCGCTCGCCCACGCCTCCATTAGAGCAAGAACTGCGCTGACTTTCAAGTGACCGGACTTTGCGAGCGCCATTGCATCATGCACGAGCCCGATGCGATCATCCAGATAGAAGGGGCTATCGGGCGCAGATGCCTGAGTGGCAATCATCTGCAGGCGTTCGGGTGTGTAGAGCACACGGCCTGTCGCACAATTAACGGAGGAAACGAGAAGGGAGGGTTAAGAGCGGCTTACACACGCCCATCGTTCCTCCGTTAAGCTTCCATGGTTTGCTAGTATCGACTTCGAAGATACCCTCCCGCTTATCAAGGACGGACGTGCTGTCCGAACCCGTGGAAGACAAGATTGAGAGTGGGACAGACCTGCTCGACGTCAACGACATGGTTAGCTGTCATCAAGGAAGGTGCGCACTATAGGACCTGATTATCCTTCTCTTCGAGTTGTCCATCCTCGATAAACCTGTCCTGACGAACACGAATGGCCTGTCCACCCTCGATCTCTGTCACTGTGAGCACAGGAAAGCCGATAGAAGCGACCCAGTGGCGCATGAACGTGCTAATGTCCTTGCCTGGGTGTCTCGAATAAGCGGTCATCGCAGCTAGTTGAGCTTGAGGCGCTTGCATACCAGTTGTGTGCGCAACACCCTCCCAGAGGTCTGCGCTGACCGTGCTTCCGTAGCTATGTTTCTTGAGATAATGGCTGACACCGCGAAGGAACTCGTCTTCGCCAACATATCCGGCGAGCATGCGCAGAATAGATGCGCCCTAACAGGTCTTGCTTTGAGATCATCCGAGTACATGCAGTGCATGAAGCTCACCTTTGCATATGAAAGTGCATCAAAGATCTGGTTGATCTGGCTGGGATCAGGCAACGGGACCTCAATGGGATGAGACGACGGCTTCGCATCAAGACGTAGGGCCCGATTCAGGTGGTTGTTGATGAACTGTGAGTTCGGGCGCCATTCGGGGTAGAGACGGTTCATGATGATACTCGACCCCATGACGGTCGCGAACCCTTCCTTCAGGTAGAGGTTGTCCCACCATGCCATGGTCGTGAAGTTTCCGAACCACATATGGGAGATCCTGCAAGTCCCCAGTCATCGTTAGCAAGCAGTCGTCGACGTTGGAAGTAGACTTACTCGTGGGTGAGTGAACCCGCGATACGTATACGACGAGTGAGATCCTGGCTATTGGGATCGAGGAGCAATGCCGACGTGCGCCCTATGATTAGGCCCTGTGTGTATCCCCCAAGTCAGCGTCACGGATATCCAGGAGATGTCAACCAGTACATACCCAGTTCTCCATCGCGTTGATGTCGAAATCGTGTACGACAAGGGTATCGAGCTTGGAAAGAGGGTACTCTACGTCGAACACCTTCTCAAACATCGGCACAGCGCGGGCGGTGACCTCGAGAACGAACTGAGTGTGCTCGATGATGTCCCTCGTTGCTGTGGAACGATGTCAGAACCTGAGATAGAAGGTGATATACAGCGGAAGAAGCGTACCGTACACTCGTAATGGGCGGACCGTCCCGCTGATGGGGCTAGAATAACTGCTCTCGCGATGTACAAACGCGCCATTAGCAAAGGCGAGTAGATACGACGACATGCGCGGCGTTTCCTCGAACGTTGTGACAGTCCACTCTCCGGTTTCTACGCCTGCATAAAGATCTTCGACCACTCGAAGAGGGAAGTGATCCACGAGGACTAAGGGGTTGGACGGGAGGTTCGAAAGTGCTGACGTGTTTGAGAGCGAAACGGTGCCTGCCCGCGAGATCATGGTCACGGAAAACACGGCCTTGAGGAGTGGTTCGTCCCAGCAGGGTATTGCGCGGCGTGCATGGGTACTCTGGCACACATCAATGGATCAGATAAGGATGAAGATATAGGATGCAGAATGTGTCGTACCTCGAACTGGGTGAGAGTATAGATCCCTCCCGGCCAAGAGCTCTTGTAGTATCCGAGCAGGTTATCCATGAGCGGTGCAGCGAATGCAATGCTCAAGACGGCCAATGTACCCGCAGTGAACTGGACCGGTAATGCGTAGGTGACGCGTTGCGTGGCTTCATCGTAGCTTCTGGAACGCTCGTCGAAGATGATGGAGCCCAATGCGCTCGAGCTCGAGGTGATCGTCAGCGACTCGCTGCTAAGGACGAGCTCCTTCGCTACATTGAGCGTGATACACTGTGCTGTCTTGAGAAACTCGACGCTGCAATACCCCTCCTCAGTCCCCAACTTCAATCCGGACTCCATAAAGCGTGCGAACCTGATCTTCACAGTGCCAGTGAACGTCTCCTTCTCGAGATCGGTGCGCAACACGATCTCGTAGCGCGTAGGCCTGATATTCTCTGGGAGCCGGTAGTCGGCCATAGTGGTAAGCTGGGAGTGTGCTGACTGAGATAGAGTCCAGAGTTAGGTAGCCGCTCTGATGCAGACGTGGGGCTCTATAGTAGGAAAGGAAAGGTGCGTTGTTCTATCATGTGGCTCCCAATGCTGGACACTTTCGTCTCTGGCGTTACGCCAGCGCTCATGAGGCTGCAACATGGTGGTGAATTGCAAGTACAGAGTAATGTATACAACGATGTGGTGGTTCGAAGTGAAGGCGACTCGAATGGTTCTTGTTTATATCGGCTTTCGGGCCGTCGTCCGCACCGTTTGGTCCGAGCCTGCCAGAGCTTCCCTCTCCCATCTCGCCGCACATTTTAGAGTATGTAGCAGTTGGTGTGTTATGCGTTCCATAAATTGACCTATACACGGCATGCTCTCTTCCAATAGAGCCGGTGCACCCGTATCAAAACTCTGGACGATCGAGAGGCAATAATACTCAAGTAAATGATAGATTATGTAGACAACTGTGAACATAGGCCCAACACCGTAGAAGGAGGTTATACGAGCAGCATCTTGCGCGGGTCCTCGATGTACTCCTTGACGCGAACTGCAAATCCAGTCAGCACACCTGCGTGGCATAGAGGCTATACTCGTAGACATACCGAGGAATGTGACAGCCTCCCGTCCATCCAACAACCGGTGGTCGTATGTGAGCGCAACGACCATAACCGGCCTGACCACGATCTGACCATTGACGACGACCGGCTTCTCCTTGACGGCGTGCATGCCCAACACCGCAGCTTGGGGCATGTTGATGATGGGTGTACCGAACAGGGAGCCGAAGACGCCGCCGTTGGAGATGGTGAAGCTGCCGCCGGTCATGTCCTCGAGCGTGAGCTTGCCGTCGCGCGCCTTCTTTCCGACCGCGGAGAGCGCCTTCTCGAAGTCGACGAACGACATGGACTCGACGTTCTTGATGATGGGCGTGACAAGACCCTTGGGCGTCGCGACAGCCACGGAAAGGTCGACGTAGTCGCGGTACACGATCTCATCACCCTACAGCACAGAGAGATGTCATCAACATTTGATACACAAGCAGATGGAGGTGAAACACAAACTTCGATAGACGCGTTCGCAGCCGGAATCTCCTTCAATGCGAGCGCGGACGCGCGAGCGAAGGCGGACATGAAGCCAAGCTTGACTTCGTGCTCCTTCAGGATAGAGTCCTTGTACTTGCTACGGAACTCCATGATATTGCTCATGTCGATCTCGTTGAAAGTCGTAAGGAAGGCGGCGGTGTTCTGGGACTCCTTCAAGCGCTCGGCAATGCGCAGACGCATGCGGCTCATTTTGACCTGTAAATCCCATATAATCAGCCTCTGCTCGCTGGTGCGAACATGAGCTATCAAGAACGTACGCGAGTCTCATTGCGGCTGCCTGGTGCGGGAGCAGGCTTGCTCTCCTCCTTCGCGGGTTTGGGTGCAGGCTTAGACTTCTCGGGCGCGCGCTTGGCAGTCTCCTTCAAGTCCTTCTTGTCCTTGCCACCCTCGGAGACTGGCGGTGCGGTGTCCTTCTCTACAGCAGTGTCCGGCTTTGGCGGGGGTGGTGTCGACTTGTCGACTTGCTGGTCGGCAGGCTCCGCCTCATCCTTTGTCGGTTTAGGCTCCTCCGACTTGGATTCTACGGCTCCCAATCAGACATAGGATGGATGTTCACTGCGGGATGAAACTCACCGCTCTCGAACTCGCCGTACTCAATACGGAAAAGATCCTGCCCAACACGGACAGTGTCTTCCTCGTTCGCCAGGAACTCGACGATCTTGCCCGCTTTCGGCGCGTTCACGGAAACGTCGATCTTCGAAGCTCGTTAAGTTGGTGCGTGTATATTCATATGATACGACGCGCACCTTGTCCGTCTCGATAGTGGCAATCTCCTCGTCCGCCTCGACCGTGTCGCCGATCTGCTTTGACCAGGTCTTGAGGGTACCCTCCGTAATGGACTCCGCCATATCCGGGACCTTCACGGTATCGGCTGTAAGAGTATAGTCAGTATATTATCGTGACACTCGCAATAGTGACACAAGCGGCGCGATAGCCTCGCATATGATATTGACGTGGTCCGGATGGGTTGCGGCAATACTGTAAGTATGTATAGGGCCCATCCATACCACGACCAGTCCATCCATATCTCGAAAGCAGATCCACCGGGTTGAAGACGATATCCTTATACCATCTCGACCAGATTCCAACGCCGCTTGACACCTTCCATGCAAGAACCTCTTGTCCAGAAGATAGCCGAATAAGAACAACTCACCCTGGACAAGCCTTGTCGTGTGAAACGCCGCGCGTTTTGCCTGTACGCTCGTCGCCTGCCTATACACCAGCCTATTCTCAGCCAAACCGAACTCCCCCGACACAGTGCGCGCATGACGTACCAGCCGCGAGTCATGGCAATAGCCTGTGTACTCGGCTTGCTTCCGCGCGCAAGCGCAACGACGCGTTTCGAGAACATGTCGGGCTGTTGAAGCTGAAGAGCTTGAGGGGAGGGGAGGAAAGGTGGTGGTGGTAGTGAAGGCGAGTTGTTGCGGGGACGGTTCACGGAGCGCGTCACGGCGGTGTCCGGTTCTCCGGCCAATCGGCATCCGGCCCTGACCTCAGCCTCATTTCTTACGATATTTACGGACGGCGTATGGTCGACGGCCGAGCCGCAGTCTCCTTTGACTTTCACTGTCAGAGCCTCTCGAATGGTTCGGGGGTATGTGAAGTTCAACAAATGATGAGGGTCGTGCTAGTAGTACAGTGCAAAACAAAACATGGAGACATCTCGGCGTAGCAAGCAAGCATCTTGTAAATCATGCAACACATCAGTACACGTATCGGAAGCTGGAAAAGGTATAGTCAGCGAGAGTTCGCACAGCTCGATAGGGTGTGAACACATACTTGGGGTTCTGCCTGTCGGTCATGTCGCTGAACGTCGTAGCGTTCTCGTGAGGGACCGAGCCCTGCGCATCCTGCTCCGCCTGCCGCCTATCGCGCACCTTATTCCGGTGTGCGTAGATAAGGCGGAACATGTAGAACAGGATCATCTCAAGGATGTTGCAGACCATGATCGCTCCGATTCCCAGGCCATACGACGGTGCTTGAGAGTCGATGAAGAAGAATGGCCCGACGATGTTGCCGACGGCAACACCCAGCCACGTCGAACCGCTCAGCAGCATCTTCTTCGTCTGACCAGCGGCGTTCGAAGACCACAGTGACAAGCCGATGACGAAGGGGCCTGAGTGCGCGCCGGTCATGTAGTACGCGAAGAGTCGGCCGATGCGCGCGTCTTGAGGTGCGAGGAGCAAGCCGAGCGTTCCGCCGACGGAGGGCAGCATCATCGCGATACAGATCCATGTGCGAGAGTTCTTGGGCGCGTATTGGTTGATCACGGCGCCGATGATGATCCAGCCGGCTGTGAATGCGCCTTGAGGGATGGTGAGAAGTGAGGTCTGGAGAGTGTTGAACTTGAGGCCCTTGATGATGATCGTCGAGAACTGCGGGCGCGCGTCAGCTTTAGGGGGAACTCTCGACTTTCGGACTCGACAGGATGCGGACGTACGTTGGAGATGCCACCGTTCGGGATGTTGGCGATGAACCCGAGCGCGAAGAACATGTAGAAGATCGGGTCGGAGACGGTGTCCCAGACCTGGTCCCACTTCCACGTCCTGTTCTCGACACCGGTCTGGTTCTTGCGAAGGCGTGCGACGAGCATGAGACGCTCTTCCCGCGTGAACATGCGTGCACTGGCGGGAGAGTTGGGGAGCAGAGCGAGCAACATGAGACCCCAGAACGCACACAGGCAGCCGACGATGATGAACCTGTCCGGCGGAGGTCAGCATTTGATAGGGAAGCGAGTAAGGGAGAGTGCATACTCGTAGCGCCACGAAGCAAGAGCGCCATTGATATGACCGATAGCGTAGCCCAGGAGTCCACCACCAGCGATACCGACACCGTTGAAGGCGTACCAGATCGAGATACGCCACGGTTGCTCCTCGCGGGTGTAGAACATAGCCGTCATGAGAGTGAAGCAAGGGTCCGCGACAGCCTCGAATGCACCGCTGAAGAAGCGCAAGACCATCAAGCCGGTGAAGTTCTTCGCGGCCGACTGACACATTAGGAGTACACCCCAGAGGAAGATGTTGATGCCTGTAATAATCGTCAGTGATCGAGTTATTGCATCTCAAGACAAGCAGCTTACCGAGGTAGTAAGCTGGTGGTGCCTTCTGCAAGAGCATGTTGGCAGGAAGGGCCCAAACTAGCCAGCCGAGGTAGAAGACCGAAGAAAGCCAGGAGTACTATTATCCGGAATGAGACGGAGGACCAGACGTGAGGTCTCAAAGACGTGCTAACCTGGTCACCGTTTAGGGACAAGTCCTTCTTGAAGCCAAAGATCGCGGCGTAAGAGAGCGTGGTCTTGTCGACGTACTGCGTGGATTGAGTATCAGTACAATAAGGCGCCTGGCTATGGTACAAGCAGACTCACGTAGAAAAAGTAACAAACAGAAATCATGGGCAGGATGATCCAGTCGAGGCGACGTACGAGGCGCTTCTCCATCTCAGGAGCTTTGCAAGGCACACTCGAGTCAGCACTAGAAGCGAGCGGCAGAAGATGCTAGCCCACAACTCACTGATGGCACCGTCGTGACCGTACTTCGCCAGAGCCTCCGCGTAGAAGCCATCGAGGTTCTGCTTCTTCCATGAGCGGAGGAAACCGGACAACGTCAGACTGTCAGCGTGGCCTTGAGAATGCACCGACTTGATGTCAACATCGCCTGGAACGGTGGCGACGCCTTGATCAATATCGCTGAGGGAAGAAAGAAAGTCCGTTGAGCGAACAGTTCGTAGCGGAAGAACGAGCATTGAAAGACATACGCGTTCTCAAACTGTTCGACGACGGCCTTCTCGGTCTTTTCGTCTGACATAGCGGGTGTTCGAGAGAGATATGGTCGGAGAGCGTCAAGCGAACCACGACGCGCTAGAGAGAACTCAAGATTTTGCGTTCGCGGTATATGTACCATAGCACTCTTCCATACAGCGACTCCATCACAAGACCCCGCGTCGAACTTAGACCATGTACCTAGACGGAGTCATGAGACGGCAACGAGTTTCATATCGTTGACGCAGGCAGAAAGATACGGGGCTAACGGCGGAGGGCGCGGCCCGGCTCTTACTTGCGCGAAATATAGTGTGTGCACTGCGCAGATAGCGGGCGTAGACGGTCGTTGAGAGCCGTAGCACGTAAGGGTCAGCAGGACGATCCCAGTGGGATCCCTCTACGTCGATCGCTACCCCAGGTTCCCCGTGGGGCCCCACGCACTAGCGGCAGAGCCGGGCCGCCACTGCGGTCGTGTATTCGTTTTGGCTTGCAGCAGAGCAATGATATCAGGTAGAGCCCGGTCATGCGGGGTGGATGTCGAGGGCAGAGTAGCGAGCAGAACGCACTTCACGAATTCAAACATAGCGTGGGTAAGTTTGCGGTGCGGTCGGACCGAGCCGTTGCGCACTCGCCTTTGCGTTCCGCCTCCGTGAAAGCCGAACCACGATCAGACTGCTAGACGGAGCGATATGATATATAACCGAGAGATGCCGTGCAGACCTCTGCGACAAGTCCATCTTGCTCGTCGACATGGGACGCGCTCTGCAAGTCTGCGGCAACGGCGCAACGCCTGAGCACCCGATCCTCTCGCTCACCCAGCTACTCGATATTCGCGCTGAGGAGCAGGCCGACAAGCCGGCTTTCCACACCGTCATCCCCGAGGACGGCGACGATTGGCGTATACATACACTCACCTACGCTCAACTTCGCAAGGCCATCGAACGTATCGCTTGGTACTACTCCGAGCCTGCTCCCGGCCCCAACCTCCGTCTACCTGAACCATCTGGTGACAGCGTACCGCCTCCAAAGACCATAGGCCTCTTCCTCCATACATCTCTGAACTTAACGTTCACCGAATACGCGCTTCACCGCCTTGGACTGACTTCTCTGCTCATCTCGCCCAACAACTCAGCGCCAGCGGTCGCCAGCTTACTCGAGAAGACCGATTCCCATACGTTGATCTACGGCGAGCGTCTCTCGGAGACCGCGCATCACGCTCAAGAGATCCTCAAGGGAAAAGGCTATGAGCTCACCCTTCTACCAGAGAAGGTCTTCCCGCTTTGGGGGAAGGACGGTGTTGATGAGGCCAACGTTGAACGTTATCCGACGCTTCTTACGCCAGAGATGGAACACGAGCGCCCGTGCATCATCCTGCACTCTAGCGGCTCTGTATGTTTGCCATCCACTTATTGTAGCTACTCGTGCTGACAACCTCATCAGACTGGATTCCCCAAACCTCTCAATGGCAACCATCGTACTGTCGTCGCCAACGGTGCCATGAACTGGGGTCTAATCGGCGCAACCGTTCTCCCTCTCTTCCATGGTTTTGGCCACCACTCGACGTACGTACATATTTCACTTCTTCCCTCCGACGTGTAGAACTAACAGCACGTTTTCAGCCTTCGCTGTATCTCCGCCGCCCAACCACTGTCAGTGTTCCCAGCACATCTCCCGTTGACCGCGAAGAACATCGTGCGCTTCTTCGACACGGTAGAGCAGCAGACAGGTCATTTGATATCGGCAGTCTGTCCGCGGAGATAGCTGATAGTTGTATGCAGGCGTCGTTCTGGAACAGCTTTTCGCCGTCGCGTACATTCTCAAGCTTCTGTCAGAAGATGAGATTGCGTGCAGACGCCTGACGCGCTTCGAGCTCGTGTCTTTTGCCGGCAGCGCGGTACCTGACGGTCTGGCTCTTCTCCGTCCCCACCTCGATCGATCGCTCACGTCAATACAGAGGTCGGCGACAAGCTCACGAATGCCGGTGTGCGGCTACTCTCGCTCTTTGGCACGACGGAAACTGGCGGCATCATGAGTTCTCTGCGTGACTTCGACACCGATACGGCGTGGAACTACCTCGCGTTACCGGCCGGCAACAACCGCAAGTTCGTCAAGCTCGTGCAGCACGGCACCTCCGAGTCTGGTGTCTTTGAAGTCGTGGGTAAGTCGACCCACCTTCGCGCGCCACGCCGTATTCTCATGCCCTCTGCGAATCAGTGACGAAGGGGTATCCTTCTTTGGCCATCTCCAACCAGCCCGACGGCTCCTTCGCGACTCGCGATCTCTTTGTGTTCCACCCTACGCTCAAGGACCGCCTGAAGTACGTCGGACGCCTCGACGATACCCTTACGCAAACGCTCGGCGAGAAGACAAACCCTGTGCCCATCGAGCTCACCATCCGTGGCGCGAGCGAGTATGTCTCGCAAGGTAAGCTTTCTCGCGCGCGCTTCAGCCGCTTCTTGCTCGCTGACACACAGCTGTAGCAATCGTGTTTGGTGATGGCAAACCATTCTGCGGTTGCCTCATCTTGCCGTCTGAAGCGGCGAAGGACGTCGCACACGACCGAGCGCTGTTGTTGGAGAAGGTTCGGCCGGCAGTTGAACTCGCCAACAAGGACGCACCCAGTCATTCTCAGATTGTTCCAGAGATGATCGAGTTCCTCCCGTAAGCCATTCACCATCATATGCCCCCCCTCGTAGACTGATCATACTTCAGTCTCAACGCCGAGGTACCGCTCGCTACGAAGGGTTCCATTCTTCGCCCGTCGTGTTATGCGGCATACAAGGATCTGATCGGTACGTTCATCCGTACCTACTTGTCATAGTGATGCTTACACGTGTCGTATTTGAAGAGTCCGTCTACGCTCGCTACGAGTCTGGCTCCTCCGGCAAGCCTAAGCTCGCGCTCGAGCCGCCTCAGCTTGAAGACTTCCTCATGCACACAATCGCCGACACCATTGGCGAAGCGCGCGCGGCGAACCTCAAGCGCGATGATGACCTCTTCCGCTTCGGCATTGACTCCCTCCAAAGCGCGCGCATCCGCACCATGTGCATGCGCGAGCTTGACCTCGGCGATAAGAAGCCCGGAGAGAACGTCGTCTACGACCATCCTTCGGTAGCCAAGTGCGTTTGCAGGTTTCACTTCTCCTGACCCAACCTTCTGACCATCGTCTCCTCACAGGCTCGCTGCCCACCTTCATGCGCTACGGACAGGCGCTGGCAACCCAGACGCCGAAGCGCTCACGAAGCAGCAACATGACGTCATGCGCTCGCTGGTCGACAAATACGCAAAATACCTCGTGTCGCATACCTCAAGTGCCAGCACATCAGCACCTTCCGGTCATGTCGTAGTCCTTACGGGCGCTACGGGTGCCTTGGGCGCACATATAGTCAACCAGCTACTCGGTGATGAGAAGACGGAGCGCGTCGTGTGTCTTGTGCGCGCGCGCAACGACGAGCAGGCGGCGGAGCGCATCAGGGACTCGTTTAAGGCGCGCATGCTGCCCGCGTTCGAGGTCGCCGAGAATGCGCGCGTTGTGGCGTATGCCGCTGACCTCGACCGGGATGATCTTGGGCTTAGCCCAAAAGTGTATCCGCGCCTACGGGATACGGCCACGGCCGTCATTCAGGTACGTAAAACCCATTTGCCTCGTATCAAACGTCAAACTGATGATCTCGGTAGAACGCGTGGGCGGTCAACTTCAACCTCGGCGTCGAGTCTTTCGAAGCCGACAACATCCGTGGCGCCGCGAACCTCCTCAACCTCTGCCTTCGCTCACCCCGCTCGCGGCCCGCCTGTTTCTACTTCTCGTCGTCCGTCAGCGCACGACAGGGCATCTGGGCACCTCAGGTTGAGGAGGTCATCACGGATGATCCTGCGTACGCCGCGCCGACTGGATACGGCCGTTCGAAGTGGATCGTGGAGAAACTTTGCCAGCGCGCGGCGGCTGAGCGTGGTGTGCATTGCGGAGTGTTGAGGATCGGGCAGATGGTTGGGGATAGCGTCAAGTGCGTACACCCTTCCGTTTCTCGAGTTAGACATGAGGCTGATCAAGACTGCAGTGGCGTATGGAACACGACGGAGGCCATTCCTTTGCTGTTCCGCTCGGCGCAGGTCATCAACGTCTTGCCCGACATCGACGACGTACGTGTCACTTGATCATCAAGCAGCCTGCGGACGCTGATATATGATTATCTAGTACCCCTCATTCCTCCCAATCGACGTTGCCGCGCATGGTATCTCCGAGATCGTCCGCACAGGCGATCGCGGACAGACCGCATCGCTCTACCATGTCGTAAACGCGAACATGACAACGCACTGGCGGACAATGTACGACTTCTTCCGCGCCGCAGGGCTTGTTTTCGACGTCGTCGACCGGCGCGCATGGGTAGAGCGTCTCGCAGAGGGCCCGAGCGATCCCGTCGTGAATCCGACGTACAAGTTGCTCGACTTCTACCGCAACCGCTACGCGAAGCCCGAGAAACTCAACCGCTCGATTCATTTCGAGGTCAAGCATACAGCCGAAGTTGCACCTGCTATTGCTGCTGCTCCGGCGATTAGCGAGGAGCTGGTGAAGAAGTGGGTCGCAAGATGGAAGGAGGCTGGGTTCTTGCAGTAGTTGGTTCCGACCAGATGTTGTACTGGCTTGTTTCTTTGTAGTTGTTGTACTGTACCGAGCTTATATATGTGCTCGAATCATCTCGCTCTCTTTTCCAAGCGTGGCCCGCGACAGGTTCTGGGATAGCGATGACGAGCAAGTGCCGGCCTGTTCATGTAGTGCCAGTCGACTGTCAGTATCGACCCGTATTTCCTTCGCTAAGAACGACAATTCCTTCTCCTGAATCGCACACGGTAGCAAATGACAAGCCGCCACAAGGTGGTGGCGTTGCAGGGCGTTGCTTCGGGACGTTCCAGCGAAGGTCTGCAGCCCGCGTCCAGCATCGGCGCGTAAGTCGGGCGCCTCGTGAACTTCCCTGAGAGGATCCCATCGTTGTCCGAATTAGACTGCAGACGCCCATACATCCTGAGACGCTCTTGTCTACGCCATACGCTTGTGGTGCTAGCACAAATGTTACAAACAAGCGAGCGGCCAGGTGTGATGGAGTGAAAACTTGGCCACCCATTGGGTGGTTGGCCATCCAGTAACAGATCTTTTCAGATAGGGAGCCTAAGCGCGGAGCACAGCGTGTCGTAGTCATGACCCAACCGATCACGAACCCTACTACGGTTCGAGTGCGGTGCACCCTAATCTAAGCGCCATGATATCCACGTTGATATACAGGTTGATATACAGAAGCAAGTAAATGTACAAGGAGGTTGGGCGAGTCACAAATCCACGAGTCCGTATGGGCATAAAGATCATAGCGTAAGTCGGGAGAAGCGCGAGAGGCACATATAACTTGAGCTCCACCGGGGAGCACAGAAGGCGTGGGTAGCGAAGGGGGCAAAAGTTCAAGAACGAATATTAGTTGGGCGAGAGGAGGGATACGATGAGGCATCAACGCATAGGCGTGAACAAGAGAGTGGCGGGGCCCCTTACAGGGTGGATAGAATCGACTGAGACTCTGGTTTTCAGGTTGTCAGAAAACAGAATAAGAGCGAGACCCCACGAACACTCACAGAGAAGGGACATCGTCAAGGGCAGCTATAACAAACAAGGGAAGGGACGCCAAAATAGTCCGAAGTGGTCTCATGGGTGCGCCGAGTTCTGATCTACACTTCAATGATGCTTATATTGTTCAACGAAACGTGTACGCACCAGCAGCGCCGCCCTTTCTTATCCTTAGATCTCCGATATCCGATAGCGAGTTTTTGGAAAGACGCAGCAGGAAGGTGTGTAGAGTCCCCGTTCTCGTATGCCTTATCGTAGTCATGCTTTCCGGTTGAAGATGAGTGGTACCCGGCGATGGCAGGCGTTACATTGAGGCGATCGCCAACAAAACCCGCCTGCGTTTTGAAGGTATCGTCATAGCCGTGGGTTGAGTAGTTTCCGGCAGAGGGAAACGTGGGACCGGGCTGAGCGCGATGACAACTCGTTGGGATTGCGGGGCGACTACTACTAGCGTGGGTACTGCCGTTATGGACGTAGCCCGAATTGATGGGCGGAGAATTGGTGTGGGCAGAGTAGCCAGGCGGGGCACGGTGATCGCTCGCTCGGCTTACGGAACTTCCACCGTCGTAGTTACGGGCAGTTTTGTGGCTCGAGAGGTGATCGTTCCGAGCAAAGTTGGTCGTAGCGTCAGGTTGAGCGCGACTATCAGCTACTTGAGGTGCGAAACCAGTATTCGAGCCACGGGAGTATTTGTAGGTGAGAGATGGGTCGGTTTGGGCAGGAGTGGGCGCAAAGCTAGGCTGAACGCCAGTATAACTCGGGTTCGCGACGCAACCACCGCTATATCCATAGATGGCGCCGTTGTGCCTGTAGCTTACTCCAGACGATTGACGCGCTTCGTTTGCCATGCTGCTCGCCAGATGAACGTTGCGTAGATCGGTTGGTTGCTGCCAGGCGGCGAGTGGAGGTCGTTTGTCGCCATGTCTCGCACGCGTCCACAAGTGTTAGCAGCCGTAACGACCGAAAATATCTCGAAATTGAGCGTGGATCGCGCAGAAATATCTCCCGAGTCATCGGCACCGGAGTAATCCGATCTAACATCAATGTTGCGCCAGAGTCCGAAACGTTGAACGGCTATGGTCATCTGACCGTGAGCGCTCTAGGTAGTGGGCGATCACACACCGAGTATTCCAGTCCAACATTCCAATCCGACCATTGGCGCCCAGCATCGCGACCTCTTCTACGCCCAGCTCCCATTGCATGTAAGTTCCCCAGCGACCGCTAAGCTGACCTCATCCTCCTGCGATGATGCTGTCTCCAATAAATATTCATGATTCATACATTGGGCACCGGAAGGTGGCTGAGGCCTGACGAAGCTGCAGAGTAGATGCATCCGTTTGCGCAAGTGGGAGATGGTGAGATACGAATAGTGTCAGGGGGAGGTATAGCACGGTACAGGCCATTCGAGGGGAAGGCTTCTTGCGTACAAGTTTGGCTTCGTATAAGTAACGCCGCGAGGCGCCGGAAAGTTGCGGTCAACAGGTTGTATAGCACCCCTGTCATGAGAACTGTGACCATCCTTGCTTGGATTCGCGCGTTTGGCGCTCGCATGTGAAGCGGAGCCGATCACTGCCTGTTGCAGCGCATGTACATGTTGGAGAGTGGCGTTGAATGTTGTAGGGTGTTACCGCTAGTCTTTCTGTGATGTTAGAGACATCTAATGCCTACAGTATTCTGTCGTGGCCAATGCTCCCCGGGCCGCGGCAATCAATATCCATCGTGATGCCAGGGCGGACACCCGAGCCATCACTTGCACAGATCATGTTACGGCCCCCCCCGACGCGTCCGGAGTTCGATATGAATGTACAGGGACGCCTCTTTAGGTGACTTGTTTGCGCAAAGCTGTGCTGGGTGCAAGTCCGTTGCTAAGCGAGGCTCATATCGCGTTCTGTATGAGGACTTCTTCACAATGATAGGGTCAGCGCAGGTCAGTGCGCGCGGCAACCATGAGACCCTCAATCCCATGACGGCAAGCCGCAGGCTCTTCATGCGATAGTTGCGTCTTTTTTTGGGTACCGAGACCCAAGCGAGAGAGAGACTCCATGTGAGGGTGCAAACGCGTGCGTGAAGATGCCTCTTCTCACGTCGGTCTCAGAAGGTGCGTGTAGTGTGCTGAAAATAAAGTTCAATGCCTTCCACGCTTGACTCAAGATGGTAAGGAACCTTCAGTGAATAGGAAGGAGCATTACTGTCATGCGCAATCAAACAGGTTCCATGGATCTGCGGCCGGGCGCGTGTCAACCTTGAGCTTGAAGTTGTGCGCTTGCTTCTCAGAGGATACGGTAGCTGCGAATGGGATCCCTAGCCATGGGGGTCTCGTACTCGCCATCTCCTCGAGGCTCATCCGCCACAAGCCTCACTTCCAAGTCGCTTGCACGTAGTAGTGAACGCGGCAATTCGAGCACCGCAGCAGAAAAAGGGCTACAACTTGAAACACCGTCACGATACTTTGATTGCCATCGGGACACGCGATACAACCGCAAGACGTTTCATAGTACGCCTACGTTTGTGGTTCCGGTTGCCTATGAGAAGCTGACATGAACGGCTGTCGACACTGACAGCTGTCAGACAGAACGTATGCTCACCACCGGGACAGATGCACGCAGTTCAATGGGGCCCGGCTCGATTCTGGGAGCGCTTCGCGAGCGTCTCGCACAATCCCGAGCCGAACTGAATCTAACACCATATCGCCGCCGCTGACCGACTTCCAGAAATGGTGTTATGGGGCGACTTGGGGCGCGATAGGAGCGAAGTACGCCAAAGAAGCCAGGGAGGCGCTGAACTTGGATGCAAGAGGCAGCAGTGACTACGTCGAAAAGGGTCAGGGCTGTCGGGAGAAGAGTTTCGAGTCCCACACATACTTATTTCGCGCGCATCTGAGAGCGCTCATCAGCATGCGCACACGTACAGCGACTAACGCGTTGGTCAGGGATGCAGGTATACAAGGTGTGAGTCGATCCAAACAGAGAGCGCCACGGCTGAGCTCAGAATGCTAGCACTGATGTCTAATTTCCATGCCCACCCCTTAGTAGAAGCGAAGTTATAGCCGTGGTACATATCTGATTCTCGTCGATGCACGAAGCTGCTTCCCGACCCATTCGCACCAGGCCATTAAACATGGCAGTGCATGTAGTTTGTCAGACTCTCGCTGTCAATGCGAGGTGACAGCATTCCGTTCTGACATTAGCGCGGGGATCAGCGCCGCTGCGAGCGTATATGGCGAGACAAGGGACGCAAACCCGTGGACGGTGACTGTGGGTGCAAGAGGTGCGAAGAGGTGCGCAAGGACCGCAGTGTAGGCCATCGATGTCTCACGTAATGGCCACGTTGACGCCCCGACGAGTGCGGGGCGCTCTGAGCGCCTTTCTTGCTGCTCAAAGCTCAAAGCTTGAAGCACGACCACCACCAACTGGCGTCAATGTCCATCAAATATACATACATCGACGCTCTCTTTGTATTACTTCCTCTCAATGCATCTTGACTGCCTAACGCACTGTATGTTCCCAAGGGAGCCTGTGCTCGTACCGAGCTCATGACGAGCAGCATCCGATACCCGCGCCAATTCTATCACTACTATTCAAGCCGATAGCCAACGCATCGCACCGCCTGTCAACTCTATGGCAGCTCCTCGACTCGAAAGAGGCCCGGCGCTGCGCTCTGTACACTGGTTTGAACGACGTTGGCGCTCGAAACCTGCTCTGAACTTGGCTTTGGGGCTCCGGGTCTGCGAGTGCTTGATAGGCCTGGACGACTTCTGTCATGATACCCGGACGCTGTACCTATGGCGTGCCCCTGGCTATGCCGGTTTTCAGGGAGACAAGGCCGTCAGAGTAAACGCGTCCAAGTCTAAGCTTCGGCTTGAAAACATTGGGTTTGCTCACAACCGCGAGCGAGATACTGATGTGGGTGTCAAGCGGTGTGTTGACAGTAACACACGATACCGAGCAATGCGCCGCTGAATGCGCGCTCTAAGGCTGTGATCAGCGATCACCCATCTCGAGCTTCAAGGACGACTATTGCTTGGGTGTTGAAACGCTTCCTCACGCTCTATCTCGTGAGAGGTGGGGATTGGCTCTGTCTCGTCTTCGGCGCCCATAGGTTACCGATACATATAGTGTCGTCGGATGTTGCCCGTCCTTCTCAAGTCGCGCCCATTCAACACCCTGACCGTATCTGTTGAAGTTATGTCCTGTTCGTGTTGCGACAATGGTGACAAAGGTGTCTGCCCTTTCCGCTCTGCTCAAGGCCGGATTGCCACTGACGGATGTTTGCATAGATGATGTAGGCGTGGATTCTCATTCTGTTGGTGGCTTCGTCCCACCTCCTGTCGAGATCACGCTCGCCCATGATCGCCAAGGTGCATGCTGGCCGCTTACCGGCTTGCGATCATGGCACTCATGACTTCCATCAGAAACATGTGTGCTCGGGCTGCATCTGCCGGTACCAAGCCCTGCACCCAGTAGTACAGCAGCATCCCAGATCCATACCCCCGTATGCTGGGAAATCCCTGAGATTGTTGTCAAGCCTATCCCAGACTACGTTGGTCCTGACGGAGTGAAGCGCATGTGTCGTGAGTTGGAGGAGTCTCATCCCTTCTCCACACCGCGTAAGCAGGAGCAAGTCTTCATGTAAGTCTGTCCGAGCGCAGACCGCTTCGTGCTGATCAAGGGTATCACATAGATCAACTCGTCACGAGCGATACATAATCCCTCCTTTCAACGCCACGCGTTTCTCTCAGTGAGTGGCCAAGGGACATGACAGTGGATAACCTCACGATGTCTTTACTCGCAGCCTTGCCTGTCCACCTCATCCTGATCAGATAGATCCTTGGGGTTACGGCGGATGGTCTACTCTTATGCACCCGGACGGTTCTTTATACTTTCACAAGGTTCTACAGGGAAACGACGGTTTCTGCGTCAGTACACGTTCGTTGCGCATTCGCGAGATAACTGAATGAACGTCTTCACAGAGTATATATACAGAAGCCTACCTTTACAGTCAAGCAATGTTGGATGAGTTGACGCTATTCTCCAAATATATGTGGGAGCATGCTGGGAACATCATCAAACTAGGCGACTACGAGGTCGTGCTCAATGTCCAGCTCGACACGGAGCCCGAAAAGATCGTCTGGAGGTGAGATCAAAGTTCGTATACCTGGCGCGATGAGCTCTGACGCGACGAATCAACAGCTACTACTTTATTGATCATGTCCGCCGCATGGCCTGTTGGATGCGTCCATACAGTCCGTGCGACTCTATGCGCACCACCGAGCAATTAGGCGCATCCTCGCCGGACCATCTACGTAAGCACTTCGTCACAAGTCTTTCCTCCAAGACATGCAGAACACTTTGTAGAATATCTTCTCAGAGCGATGTATTGGTAAGTTGCTGCTCATGACGGACCATGTTCAAGTTGAAGAGATGTGGAAGATCTGACGACCCCCACACAGGGAACACTGTGCACTATTCCCTAGAGACAGTCGCGGAGTTCGACCATTTCCCGAGGATGCCTATGCTACGCTTACTTCGGAGCTGGCGTGGTGCGCTTCACGTGCGTTGCCCATCGTCATCTTGCTCGCTTAGATCGAACTGAGCGCGTGGCCACTCCGTAGAGTCTGTCATTGCCCCCATACGCTACACAGCTCCGTTCACGACCGAAGAGGCTGTGCACTTGCGAGAGCAAGTTGACTGCCTCCGAAAGAGTGAGTCGCTTCGCAATTCCCGAACGTCGATCAACTCCGATACTAAAGCCCCCGTAGCGAAGATGCACCCAGAGAAGTACACCGAAGTTGCTGGTACGAGTCGATCAATCCTGACTGTTTCTGCTGCACCGAATTCGCTAATTGCTGGCATGCAGGGGGACTCATGGCGATACTCGGTCAGTATTGAACGTTGCACGATCTCTTCCGTGGCCTGTCGGGTTAACGAACTTTCCGTAGAGCGTTGGCGTTATGATTTCCTTCATGGCACCCAGGTTATCAGGCGTTTCCGTGGCCAGACTGTTCTGTCACCTCCTCCACATTCGGCGTTGTACCGGGTTCTACTTCCCGTCCTATTCTATGCGCCCCTTTCCCATCTGTACGATTGCAATGGCGTGTATCTTGACGGTATCTTGGCGAACGAACCCGAGTGGACAAAGCATGTGAAGAAACTTTTGGCAGAGTGGGTCGATTTCGTACTCTACGTATGTCTTCCGATGTCCCTCTTCGACATCAAACACTCACTCGTGCATAGGCGACCATCCTGCTAGCCGCGAACTTGGCGTTTCTTTCCGTACCGAACGCCATTTTGCTTCCTGATAGTGGCGCCGGATCGGACACTGTCGAACTCGTGTCTCCTGCTGCGATCCTCAGCTATTGCTCCACGATCCTTAGCATTGGCAGCATGACCATTGGGTTGCTGCTCATCCGCCAACATCGTGGCGAGGAGATCATGGACAATCCCCGTACTGTGAGAATCTTTTTGAGTCAGTGACATCGACGTCATCTCATGCGTGAGGATAGGACAAGGATACGTTCATGGAGAAGCGCAGATCCAAGACCCACGGATTCGAGCAGTTGTCGATGCTGTATAGCCTACCCTATGCACTTCTGATGTGGTCGTAAGTTGGCGTCGTTTGAGCGCTAGCGCTGCTAGCTTAGGCTGATGGCGTACCACTAGAATCCTGATGTTTCTTGCCGCGCTCATGACGTTCACCCTGCTGGCCACCGACTGGTTTACCCGTGTCTCAACGATCATGATGCTACTTATCGTCGTCACAGTAGCTGTCTGGGTAAAATTTTTCACACGATGCTAGAGGCCATGACTGATCGGTTTGCCAGTGCATTCGGATTGGCTGGGGCAATTCACAGAACCAGGACTTCTTTCAGTACAAGAGGGAAGGCTGGCCTCTGACGCCGTTCGATCGCGTTACAGCGCGAACCATGAAGGGCATGGAAGCGGCAAGAACACGACCGAGGAGGGAGCCCCGCGCGTCTAGAATAGGTTGGCTCGCACGCTTTTTGCAGCGCGGTAATCAGACAGGCAACGAGGAGGGCGTTGAGATGGCTTGAAGGACCGGACTTTGAGATACTCTTTTCTGCGCTTCGTGACTGAGCATGTATCCTCTCGTACCTTCGCTGTAGATTCGAACCATGTAGGGCCATCATTCTAGTCGTTGCGATTACGACAGCTACTCTTGTCCGTTGATCCCACTACGTGAGGTACGAATGCGTACGACGACGTACGGATTCAGGTAATAAGTACGAGCCCGGATGCTACTCGTGATTGCTTGCTGGGCGACAGGAATGTGCAGGGCCGAAGCAGGGCGATTCTTGGATCGTCCTCGCCGGACTCTCACCAGGCACCGTTCTCATGCTGCCCGGCCTTGTTCTCCAGTTTAGCGATTGCGCACGATACGTTCACTCCTCGAGCTCGAGCTCTATATCATTCGGCCCCCACCATGCGCGATTTGGGGTATGCTGACCGCTCGATGACATTGCGTCGCTGGTGTAGACGGTACATACCACCTGACAATTACTTGCGTCGCCGTGCGGAAATTGCACGCGGCGGATCGGCACGGCGCACACTAGTCAAGGTGACTAACCTATCAACGATCGATGCGCGCGGAGTACTATAAGTACGCTGGCCCTTGTAACCTTCTCGCCTCTCTTTCCCTCACCTCCGTGTCGCCACCGCTCAAATTGGCAGACGTCCGCCTCCACAAGTCACTACTTTCTATGCTTTGATGACACCCAGCATTCGTTACGACGATCACGCGGGGTCCCTTGCGACATCGTCGACATCTCACACTTGATGTTATACGCGAAGGATGTGGAGGATGAGAGCAGGGATGAGGGAGGGCGGGGGAGGTGGGAGGACAGTACCAGGACAGGAACGTAGCTGGGGGAAAGGGGAGAGGAGTTGGGCGAGACGAATCTTCCGGGTACGCAGATATACGATCCGGCGAACGATGCGGCCTATGCTGGTCTATGAGTGTATTCTATAGGATGTCACAAGATCATGTCGACGAGATGGACAGTACGACGGTCGAAGTACGAGCATCTCGCTCACGACAACGATACAACATACATTCATACCAACTCCACAGTCCCCATCCCCCCAATCTCCTCTGCTAGCGTGCACAGAGTTCCCATCCCCCGTACGGCCATTCCAGCGTACACCGCATTTTAAACCACATACGACCACCATCAACGGGAATAGCCGGCTCACACGGGCCGTTTCTCGCGGGCTTTAAAGCAGGGCCAAATCCGCGTCTGAGCGTCAAGCACTCCCTCTTCCCGACTTGCACTTGCTCGCAAGATCAAGACCCAAGACTCTGCCCGTATCTACAAGTTTGCTCGCGCGCGCATGTCAGATAAACCAGAAAATAAAGAAAAAAAGATCGTCCGTGATGATGCCCGACCTACGACGCTCGAGAAACGTGTACGCTCTCGCGCGCCGGTGGTCGAAGAGGACGCCGTTACGACGGACAGCCCTCCCGAAAGTGTGGTTGACGAGAGTGAGATATACGTCGAATTGGACAGTCAAAGCATGTTCGGCGATGGCCCGCTCGCTAGTCTTAAGAGTGCTACCCGTAAGAAGACTGGCGATGTCCTTGGACGTCGATCCGCGTAGCCTAGTCCTGTGGTTACTCGTCCTACCTGCTCGCAACCTCTCGGGGCTGGGCAGGTCCGCGCTGATACTCTCATATAGCTGCTGTGACTGTATACTGACCAAGTGCAGTCGTAGACGGCGAGCTGGGAGACGCCGGGATCGTGTGAGAGGCCGAGAGCGGGAAGGGAGCCACCGTGTTTCGCCGCACGCACTCTACTTTCCACCTCCCTTCGGACGGCCCGGCGCCTCCTAGGTATCTTCATGCAGAGTACATAGTGACTTTGAAGACAAGACTGACGTGCATACATAGGTCGCAGCGCTCAGCGCATCACCCACCACATCCCGTCCGGGCGCCTGGCTCGGCGGATGCCCGCGGCTGTGCAGTCCTTGTCCTTGTTCTTCCTCCACCCACCCCCCATCCTGCCCATTTGTAAACCAAGATGCACAATACCATAAAGATTTCAAACATGCATTGCAATAGCGTGATCAAAGCCTTAAGCACTTGAACCTCTTGTAAGTTGTCAGAAGACGCGGTAAGAGTAGAAAGGCCTGAGCCGCTTTGGGTGGTCCTTGTTCTCGTGTCTCGTCGTCGCGCACCTCGCCCTATGACTGTCCCCCACCTTTGACATCGTACCCTGTACTCATCTACACGCATGCAAGCATAGTCACTCTATAGTACTTCAGCAGGTCAAGGTGCTCAAGCCTGTGATTGGCGGGGATATCGGCGCTATCGCATCTAATCTGGAGGACAACGCCCCTAACGATGAGAGGCGCCGGAACCGCCACTAGCCCTTCGATCATTGTGCCGTCATTACAGGTTTTAAAGTTTAATTGCTTTGGTTCGCGGAGTAGTTAGGGGCTTCAACGGTTTGGATTGTGGTAATGATACAGGTTCGAATAGAGTGTTGGAATGGGGTGTATGTGGGACAGAGCAGAGCACGACTTGTAGCGCATCCTGGACATGCAGACCCTCCCAGGGAACAGAGGAGGCTCTTCATGCCGCACGCGCGCATCCAAGCCGATCTGGGGAAGGAATATAGTGTGGGTACGGGTTCGTGGGGATGCAGTGGGGGTATGGATATAATACAGGTATTTCGTCGTCGTGAGGCAGTGCAGGTTCGATAGGGGTATAACGAGAAAATCGCGCTGAGGGCCGCTATGGAAGCAGGCGTTCAAGACGATGCAAGGGCGCGCGAGTTCGCGAGAGCATCATCGGCTCTCTTTCTCAGCGGGCGCCGGTGGTGGGTATGCGCGAGGCGGGCGGGGACTACGCGCGAGCGCATCGGTGGCTCGCTGCCCGCTCACGACCTCTGACCCGGCGACGGCGGAAGTCTATGCGCGACCTGATTTGAATATCGTCAGGATTGAGGTTTGGCGAGCGAGTGGGCCAAATGGTTACGAACCTCCGGTTTCGCTCGGGTGGTTGAGGGATAGGTTGGGTATAATCATGACGACCTTCGCCCGAGACCATCTCGGGTCGTCTTGCCGTGTACTCCTCGGAGGGCCTTGAGCGGGCCGTCCATAAGCTTGCCCTGCAGGGCCAGATCCGGAGGAGCAGGATCGTCGTCTGAAGCAACGGCTTCGTCGTCGCTGCCCGACATTTCGGCGTCGACGAGACCCACCATCGCGCGGGAAGAATTCTTCCCGAGCTTTGAGGGTAGGCCATCTTGGGTGTGGGTATTTGCATCGCGAGCCGTCGAATTCATGAATTCATGAGTGGTTTTGAGCGATTTGGTAGGGGGGCGCGATCGGCTGCGGTGGTAGGCGTGAGGAAGTCGCAACTGCGAAATTCCACGGTGTGCATCTGGGCCGGCCGCCTCGTAAGCCGTCGGCTCGAGTTGCCGGTAGGAATCGCTTGTCCTTGTTCATACCACGCGAGCGAGATCATTTCCGTGGGCATATTGCGATACGTTCCAGGCAAGTGCCGAGGGGATGCCGACGGATGATGGATGACGCGGGAGAAATGATGGCCAGAGCGTAGGAAATAGTGTCGGCGGCCGGACGGGGGCGTCTAAAGAGAGCGATCAGGAGGAAGACGGGAATGGGCTGACGCACCGCATGTTATTGGGTCCGTGCGCACTTGCAATGCGCTCGTACCCCCGACCCAACACCTATCCCACTCTCCAGTCTATCTCCTCCCCAGGACCAACCACCCCCAGCACCACATGTATCCTTCCACTCCCCTACCAATCCTCCATATTGCCCGCGTCTGGCTTGATGTATGGGGTCTTGTGTTCTCTATGGCGCGACAAGTTGATCAGGAAGAAAGGTTGAATGCACCGAGGCAACGCGTCAAAAGTCGGCGAAGAGGATGCGAGGGAGGATGACGAGAGTAGACGGGAGCAGGGGAAGGTGACGGGAGAGACGAAAATCAAAGGACCCCATGGGACCCTTATAGTCCTCACGCGGTCGGAGTTTGTTGTGATGTGACGAAGATGAAACTTGCGGCGCACACGTAATTGTGTATCATCCCCGCCATTGAACTTTTGTCCGCTCGCTCCCCCGTAGTAGAAGCAATACCTGGCGAAAGTATGTATGCATCGACGCTGCACTCTGAAGGGGTAGCGAAGAGGTGGCCGGGAGGAGGGAGAACAAGGGACTTGCCAGTATAAGGGGCGTGGGTAAACGAACATCGCTTTATCGATGCCGAACCCTCCGAGGTAACGCGCGCTAACGGTGGTACTACTCGCACCGTAGCGTGTAGTTTGAAGAGCGTGTGGACGCGCGAAGGTCTTGGAAGATTGGAAGATCTTTCGCCGGAGGATGATCTCGGAGAATTGGGACCGAACATCAGGCGGGCGCTTGATTGAGTGGCAGGTGGCGACATCTATCGAGAGATCCCACAGTGTAGACACCAGAGAGAGCAGTTAGGATGCACGAGTGCATGACACTTGGATGAGGGGCGGTGATGTCCTTAGCGGCGGGTATATCCCAGACGGTGAGCATCGGTCTCGAGACAAGCCATAGACGAGCAGTCGCGGTTCCTGGAATTGATTAGGACGCTCAGATTACCGAGCGCACTCCGCAATGTTGGATTCGTCGAGGATAGAAATCCTATGAAGAGTAATAGGTCGCTACAAGGTCGGTGGCCGCGCCACCCAGGACGGCGACCGAGATACGGGAGACACCCAGATATGTCGATCTCTCGCTGGGCTGCCATTGACAAGTATGTTGGTAATTCAGTGGCTCTGGAGTCGATCGAGAGTTCAAAGGACTATGAAGACAAGCAGATGGTGGTCAGAACCAGGGCGCAAGGGTGGCGGACGCGAGTCACCACAAGCAATGACCCTCACCGGCATTTGCCGAAATGCCCATTGTCCCTTGTGCGGCGATTTGACAAAGGGCCACCTCCACACATACTTACGAAAGAGTTGCATTCACATCTTTACTAGGTCTAGTCTGACTTTCCGTCATAGACAGAGCCAACTGCTTGATATATGCACGTGTTTCGGACCCATAATTGCCAGAATATAAATCTATATTGTATCTACATATGTATGCTTATGTAAGCATCATACTTTAGCGCATAGCTCAAAGTACTCCTGTCTCATCACTTACCTCGGAGCTATAGGTGAGACGTCTCGCCGCATACTGCAACACATTTTACGATACTTATTCTGAATTGTTCTCTGAATGTTCGCAGAAGGCGGACTGGTCGAGATTCACCTAGCACTTCGAGCACAGAGTATAGTGAGCTTCACTGTGTATCTGAGAAAAAGCAAAGCGAGAGCTATTGCGAATGCCGACCCGGATTCGGTGCAGACTGATCAGTACATCGCCGCCGTTCACAGCTGTAGCCAACGTCACATGACTTCCCACTGCAGGCTTGCAAGAATGACATAGCACACGAAGACTGGTACTTTCATACAGGAAGAAACATCTCGTCATCGGCTCGTTGCGCTCGCGAGGTAGTGGTGGTGAACGCAGGCGCGAATTCAGCGCCGCGCGCGTTGGGCTGTCGCCGGCATCTGCCGTGATGGGGTTCCCTCGCGAGTCGCGATCGCACACAATCGCACATCATCCCTCTATCGTTGCGGATGCCCACGAATGCCGGTACCCGAGGGTTCCAGAATAGCACACACTGAAAAGCAACTGAAAAGGAGGCGGGACTCAAGAGACTCCCCTGAAACCTCACAGACAAATGCAAATATTAGCGCATCATATTGGCACAATTCTCTACACCGGCATTTATATATCGTATAACTCACTATATACTTCTACTTCTACGTCTTGGGGATACAGCCCGACAATCCATCCGTATACATCCTAGGCCTCGGTCCGTGCAGCTGCTTCCTGTTCAAGCACATCGAGGTAGTGCACTTCGCTGAGTGCTCTGAGGCGCCCTGCGGCTTGTTCGGGTGTCAAGTCCCGCTGCGCCTCGGCCATCAACTCGAAGCCGACCAGGAACTTCCGCACAGTAGCGCTACGGAGCAGAGGCGGCGCGAAGTGAAGATGCAGGTGAGCCTCGTCGTTCGAGCCTGGCGTCGAGCTTTGGTGAATGCCCATGGAGTACGCGAATGATGTTGAGAACAGGTTATCGTAGCGCTTCGTCACCCGAGATAGGATGTCGGCGAAGGTCTTCTTCTCATTCGCCGAGAGGGTGTCGATGGAGGTGATGTGGCGATGGTAGGGCAACACTGTACAGTTCATGTGAGTGGCACGAACAGCAACCACGAAGAGAATAACACTGACGCAAGATCTCGAATGGCCAGGTGGCCCACCATGGAACAAGCGCCACCCAGTGCTCGTTCTTCACCACGACGCGACCCTCCGCCTCAGCCACGCCAATCTCGAAGTGTGCATATTCGCACAGCAAGCATGGTTTGCCATCCGCGCCGCGAGGGGCGCCCTCAGCAACAGGAGACGCAGGATCGGCCGCGTAGCGTGCGAGAGAAGCCAGTTCAGTCGCGGGAAGCGTGGGCACCTCGCTCAACGACCAGGTCTGTCCGTGTGGATGCGGGTTCGAGCATCCCATGATCGCGCCCTTGTTCTATACAGATGCGGATCAGCTCAATACTACTTCCCAATGAAGGCGGTGGCTTGCCTCGAAGATCTGGACATACTTGATCCCCTCTTGCTTGCCTCGGCGAAGATAGATGGACACCCATTCATTGATAACGTGTTCAATGTCACTGAGCTCCAGGCGCGCGAGAGTCAGGTCATGGCGTGGGTGGAAGCAGAGCACGTCGCAACCACCGGCTACGGGCTCCGTTTGGAGAAGCGGGTGCGGCACACTCGGAGCGGTGGGCGGAGGACCGGGTAGAACAGCAGCGAAGTCGTTCTCGAAGACAAACGTATTGACGTAGTTCTCGTTCTTCTGGCCACCAGATCGCGAGTTGCCGGGGCAGAGATAACATTGCGGGTCGTACTTCAGCAAAGATGGGGCTGATGGCGCCTCTGTCTGGCCGAGCCACGGGCGCTTGGTCCTGTGCGGGGAGACGAGGACATGTTCGCCCGTCAGCGGGTTCACTGAGGCATTTCAATCAGCATCTGGTCATGGTCATGAGATGAAGTTTGCGTACAGCGACGATGGGGATGGGTTGAGGGATCAAATTCTTCGGCCATGGCGGTCAATGCGAACGTTTCAAAGCTGGCCGGTACTTGAAGGCTGGTGAAGACGCCAGATCAGGCTTCTCTCCCCGCGCTGGGACCCTAGAAAGATTTAACATGCGCGCCCAACGTCATCTGCATCGATTAGGAGGCCAGCCGGCGGCGGGACCTAATCGACCGGCGGTCCGAGAGCCGATATTCCATATGGTCGCCCAGCGTCTGCCGTGGGCCAGCAGCTTTCTAACGGCGACCGCTGGCAGAAGAGCGCTGGATATAATACATTCCAGTGACCGTTTGACAGCTTGAAACGCGACCTGGACGTCGAGAAGAACGTCGCGAAGATGAGCGCCGAAAGCCGCGCCGCTCGTTCGCCGCACGGGGCCTGGTTCACACGGCGCGCGCCGACGGGCGCGTCGAGGAGCCGAAGACGCGACTTCACCCCGACCACCACTAGAAGTAGCTGGGCCCGACCCACCTGAGCTAAGCCTCGTCGTCAGAGCAGGCGTTTGTCACTGTCTTGCAGAAAAAGCGACAGAGAATACTTGGTGTGAACTACTTGTACCTGGCACAACTGCTCTCGTCCTATCGACGCGCGGACATAATGAGCGTTGTGGCGGTCACCCTGAATACGGTTGGTGTCCGTATTACCTTCCCCATCGATAGCTCGCACAGCGAACTAGGCGCTACACGTAAGGCTGCATCGATGAACCTAGCGCGACGACGGGTGCACTGGTACACGTTCGCGAGACATCGGTCTTCTCTTCTGACCGTACCTTCGTGGGCGGTACTATCTGGATTCTCCGCGGAGCCACGTTCTGAGCTAACGCATCATGCAGTACGCGCCACAGTCCTGCTCGCATCTGTGGCGGTCGCCCCTGCGCTCGACGACTTCAGCCCAATGGACATCCTGTTCGAGGCTTCTCGGTATGGCGATCCAAGCCGTATCTGCACACCTTGTCTCCCCAAAGCGGGACCGCTCTTAACACCGATCGGAGAGCGTACCAGCATACAATTCGGAGGGTCTCCGGAAAGGCGGCGTATCCTGTTGGTCCCAGCATCTCCTAAAGCCCGCCACTCGGCTCTTGTAACAGTCACCGCCATGCCTACACGCACACCCATCGTGGCCAGCTTCTCGTTTTCTCTTTCGACGGCGCAGCACCGCTTTCTATGCAGCTGGCCTACCCGACACTCGTACATCGGTCACCCGGTACGTACTGTGAGAAGGTACAAGTGCTCGAGTACTCGGCCGCTGACTTTCTAGCTCAGGATCGGACATCGTAAGCCCAGTTATCTACAGCATCGCCCTGCCTTGCGCCCTGTAAGTCCTCACGCTTGCACACCTTTATATGTCGACTCATCTCCGCGACCAGGTTCGCGCAGTGATCCCAAGATGGAACCCACTTCAAACACCCCCGCGTTCCCTTCTCCCCGGGCTTCCTCTCAGAGTGTACCCACGTTCCCCGTCGCAGAACCCTTTGAACCGCCTGTATCCAGCCGGCAGGACCCCTCTGGTATATACATGTGTTATCGTTGGGCTGCTGTGACGCTGATAGTGGTCAAGGCACTGTGGACATGAGCGTCCATCCAGTCGGCGGTTTCAACGTGCCACAGCATGAGAGTATCCATGTCGTCGCAGGAGAAGGTCTGTCCCACGCCAACGGAGTGTGTCTGCGCATTGACGCCCTCTTACAGTCGTTGAGCCGTCTGAACCTCGCATATCCATGCCCAGCCCCACTTCTTCGAGCATTACCGCAGTCTCTGCCGAGCAATCTCCCCCTCAAGAGCCGATCAACATCGTCTTTCCCATCATTGAGCCCCATATCGACCCGGAGACGAACAGAGCGATGCCTCGCTATATACGCGAGTCGCACGCTCTCGTTGCCCCAAGGAAGGGTCGCCAGTTCCCCGTGTAAGGTTTCATATTATTGTCAATGGATCTCTCTGTGATATTGACATTGACGTTCAGTCTCAATGCGCATGACCCCTATACGATTCCGGCACTGAACACGACCGATTTTCCGCAGTCAGTTCCCGTTTTCACAGCACCGAACACAGCTGAGACTTCATTTCAGTTGGGTTTGCCCACCCGGAGAGGAGAAGATGGACATAGAAAAGTACGGTTGGCGGGATCTTGTGCATCCGGATGGAACATTGTATTTCTATGGACAGTTCAGATTTGACTCCGGGCCTCTTGTGAGCCTACCCACTTCTCCTTTGAGTGATAAGTTTGAAGCTGAACATCCAACACAGAGAATGTATACTGAGAGCTACCTCCACGGTCACGACCTGTTTGTCGAAACGATCAGGCTTGCTACATACATGTCAATGCTTGTCAAGGCACTACCCAGCGGCAGTATCCATTTCCCTAATGTTGACCTTGTCATCAACGTCGAGATGGGAGGAGAATACGATCAGATTACCTGGAGGCAGGTCTCCCAGATCGTCTCATCATCTTCATGCACTGACGACGTTCTGTATAGCTACTACTTCGTGGACCACTCGCGCAAAATGCTCTTCTGGTTACGGCCGTACAACCCCGAAGTTTCCATTCGCACCACTCAGCGACTGGGTGTATCTTCCCCAGACCACCTTTGTGAGCCTCAGTCGCACGTGCTATCCCTCATTGTCATGCTGAGGACATGTCGCAAGGTCATCTTCTTCGAGCCATGTACTGGTGAGTAGCGTACTGAAGTGTCTTGACCTAGTGAGCTCATTGTACATAGGGAACATTGCGCTCTCTTCCCACGCCGAGCTATCTCGGAGAATACGCACGCATCGCTGGTGGCCAATCTCACCTGGTGTGCTTCAAGTGAGTACAGATGTGCGCATTCCCCGTCCCACCTGACATTGCTCTAGACTCTGTGATCACGCCGTTGCGTTATACTGCTCCGTGGACGGCAGAAGAGGCGGCAAAGCTGCGTGAGCAAGTGGACTACCTTCGTGCAGGTGAGCTCAGTCCCATCCGAGTTCCGTGATCCGTTGATGACCAAGCTTTCGGCAGTCAAAACGCAGCCAGACCAGTATATCGAAGTAGCAGGTCTGTGACTGACAGCTGTACCACACGAGGACTGCGCTGACTTTGAGTACACGTACTATAGGACGGACCTTGAGCATGTTAGGCGAGTTCTACTGACGTACTCGTACTACAATCGATGCTAACACCATGGGTTGCAGAGCGCTGGCGATATGACTTCCTCCATGGCACTCAGGTCGTACGACGCTTCCGCGGACAGACCGTTCTCCCTGCTCGGAAGCAAACAGTGCTTTACAAGTCTCTGCTCCCGCTACTGTTCTATGCGCCTCTCGCCCATCTCTACGACTACGAGTCTGTCTATCTCGACGGAGTTCTCGCAAATGAGCCCGAATGGACAAGACACGTGAAGAAGCTGTTGGCTGAGTGGCAGGAGTTCGTACTGTATGTGAGTACATGCCCAGTGCGATTGAGTTGTGATTGAGTGGCTTATCCGCGATAGGCGACCATCTTACTCAACGCCAACCTTGCTTTCCTCTCAGTACCAAACACCATCTTGTTTCCAGACGGCGACAGCTCTAGCAGCGACTCCTCAGCTTCTTCATCGGACTTCCAACATGCGCTTGTCTCGCCGACCGCCATCATGAGCTACTGTTCCATGCTGGCCAGCATTGGCAGCATCATCATCGGCCTCTTGTTGATACGTCAACACCGCGGCGAAGAGATCATGGATAATCCGCGAACCGTAAGTCTGAGCCTTATATGTAGTCACCGTGCTCTTGAAGCTGACTCACACGTAGGACAAGGACAAATTCATGGAGAAGCGCAGGTACAAGAAGTCGGGATTCGAACTCGTGTCGATACAGTACAGCTTACCCTATGCGCTTCTCATGTGGTCGTACGTATCGCCTCTCGTCGTAGCCTAGTACCATACTAAACTGACTCCGCATTTTCTTTCAGTATCATCATGTTCTTGGCGTCCCTCATGATCTTCACTCAGCTAGGAACTGACCGGTACACACGGGGAACAGCACTTGCCATGTTAGGCGTCGTTGTAATCTTTGCTATATGGGTGCGTCCGGTTCCCACAATAGAGTGTGCGAGCGTGATGCTGACGCGTTCCCCTAGTGCATCCAATTGGGGTGGGGCACTTCGCAGAACCGAGGCTTCTTCGGCAAAGTCAAAGACCCTTGGGCTCCGTCAACCATCAAGCGCATAACTACACGAGCGAAGGCGGGCATGAGAACCGTGCAGAAGCTTCCGAGAGGTCTTACTCGGCACGGCATGCTTCTCGGAAGCACTGCCGGTACACTGCGCCATGAAACGGGCGAATTCGTGCCAAAGAGTAATGGCGAGATGGTATAAGATTCTGTCCTCCGCACGAGAATACTTAGCTTGGACTTCCCTCAGTCCGTGATAGAACGTTCGCACGTCTTCCGATGTTACTGTATAATGCGAGAGTAGATATATGTCCATGGAACGAGACTAATGTAACAACGATTTAACGAACCAAAAGAGGAGGAGTGGCTCCGAGTGGGTCTCAACGGTCCTCGAACGGTCTTTATTAGTGGGATCATGTCTTTTGCTGTGGTACCCTTCATCACATCCCCTAGGGATACGAATACAGCCGAAAGTACACTCTGTAGATTATCCTATCAAGCCGTGAAAGAGCTAGCAGACTTAAGGGAAGTATTATGTACATCGGCGCCCGGCGCCGGAGAAACAGGCTGAAAGCCAGTATACGAGACGAAGTTGACGATGCCAAACTGCGTATGCCTTTGTTTATGCAAGAGACGTGACTTGTATTCGAGAGAACAACAGGCTAATGTCAAGTAGCTACGGGCACAACACCTCATCCGTCTGACATCATGGTTCCGGGTCGCTGGGAACGGCCGTGGCGGTTGCGTGGTATAGCTTCGAGATTCGCCGCGCCGTCTTCTCCACCGATGACCAGCCCAGGTACCTAGTGAGGAAGACGCGCCATGCTGGCACAGTGTGCCATATTGGCGCATAGAGCGAGTCCCATCTATAGGTGCTCCATCCCATCTGAATACACCACGCAGACAATGCGCCGATGACGAGAAGAGTCGATAGCGCAGCCGAACGTGTGGGCCAATCGGTGCCCTTGAGGAAGAATACCATGACGGCTGTGAGAAAGAAAGCGACTCTGTCGGTAACTCGTAAGCTTCAATGCGCTATGCATACTTTGACTACTCACGACCACATAAGAAGCGCGAAAGGCAAACTATAAACGATTGCGAGCGGTTGAAACTTGTATCTGTTAGACCATCGCGCCTGCATGAAAAGCCGCATATCCTGTATGCGATATAAGTATCAGGGCAAGGTCAGGGCACGCTGCACCAGCACTTACCGAACGGTAGCTCTCTAGGTGAGTCTCTCCACGGTGTTGCCGCACAAGCATCAAACCCAGCAAGATACACCCGACGCTCATGAGCATTGACACGCTACTCAAGATTGCCGAAGGAGACGTCAACGGGTGCTCGTAGCTCTGCACGGACGCGCCGCCTCCTACGTTGATCTCGTCGTCTGGGAACAAAACCACATCTGGAATGGCAAGGAAAGACACGTTTGCCGCCAACAATACGGTTGCCTGCACTATGCGTCAGTAAGGCAGAACTCAAAAGAGTACAGTTTCATGCGTACATATAGTGTGAACTCTCGCCACTCCGCAAGTAGTTGTTGAACATGCCGGATCCAGTCAGGGGCGTTCATGGCCCCATCGACGTAAACGGCTAGGATGTCCTGAAGTTGCGAGATAGGAGCGTAGAATAGTAAAGGCGACGAAAGACGTAGGAGCCACGTGGGGCGGTCTTCTTCCGGAGCGCGAACAGTGCTGCCGCGATTGAACGTCCGGGCGAAGGGCTGGCCGTGGAAGTTGTCCCATCGCCATCTACACATCGTCGACTTCGTCTTTGCTGCTTCACGTTCAGCATTATGTCTGGCGCCAGGGACGGAGGTTTTACCTGCGAGGGCGACATAACGATCCGCTCCCACGCGCCACTCAAAGCCGGGCAACAGTCGACTCAATTGATCGAGTAGATGCTTCGACTCTTCCGCAGAGAAAGGACCAGTGTATCTTGCTGGATCGACTACAGCCTCTATGGAAGGCGTCAGACAGCACTCGTGCTTGAGTAGAAGACACACATACCGACAGCGCACCAAGTCAAATCAGCGATGAGCGATTCCAACGCATCTGGAGGAAACCGGCGGATCCCTTCATACACGCGAGGGTACAGACGGACGTGTTCCCTAGGAACATAAAAGATGAGAGTGTGTACCTCAGAGACTACTGTGGGTGAATACTCACCAGTATAGCTGTTCTAGCTGCATATCTGTGAAGCGAGATATCAGCAAGCATATAACAACAGCGAAGTTACCAAAGATACCATTATGATCAGGGGAGGAGAAGCCAAATGACGCATAGTGCTTCAGACCGACGAGGTAGGGGCGAATCCAGTAAAGGCGACGATGTGTGTGATCGACGTAGTAATACGCCCATTCGATGATTCGATCTTTCTTGTCGAGTTGTGACTGTACCACGAGTTCCCAGTCGTCAGATGGGTGCTCGAGTCCCACGATATGCTCTCTGCAGTGCTCGATGTATGCAGCGATGTGCTCTATCTCTTGGCGGAAGTTCTTGTACACGATGTAACATTCTGTCACCAGACTCTGGGTTCGCGTAAGCAAGTACCTCAAGTTTGGCATCATGTGTTGACACGAACCAAGCGCTCGTTGTAGAAGTAAAGGGTGCCGTCGGGATGCGTGACGGCTGTCCAATCGGCTAGTTCGACCCCCTCTTCGAAGGCAGCGGGGATGCTGACATTCAGATGAGATTAATTGAGCAAACGATCAGACATGCCACTCACTGTCCATTCTCCTCGACGGCACCAGGAAAGACAGGACAAGGAGGGTAACCTCTCACGCTGCGGTACGTGTCAACGTTTGAAGACAGAGGAACGTACTCGAATACGAACATATGTTCTTGATGTCGTAAACGCAACGCCTCCCAAGGCGTCATCTCGGTAAACTCTCTTCTCCAGGGCTCCATGGCAGGAGGGACAGGCGGAAACTTGTCGAAAGGGAAGTCTTCCGCCCCTGGCGGGAGATAGAAGTCGCCGACGTATGAACGGCCGGCCGAAGTTTGAATCCTCTTCTGCTCGTACGGCTCCTTCGTAGGAGGCGGGCGTGGTAACACGACAAAGTTAGGTTTGATGTCCGGGGGAGGCATAATGTACTCTTCCATCCCCTCCGGTAATACGTGCTCCACCGTACCCTCGGGCCCTGCACGAGTATGAGTACAGAGCCTCGCGACTAAATGATTTGGTAGACGCACGTGTAACGACGATGGGTATCCTCTCTCTGTATATATCTCCATCTGATTCCTGCGTCTGAGCTACAGCGGGGTCCACGTCTTGTTCGACTACCATACACGCGCGAGGCATGATAGGGCCACATTCGAATGACGAGCTGGAAGGTTGCGGAGGTGACTTCGCCACAGGTGCCTGTAGAAGACGACGCAAAAGACGCCCCAATCTGTGGCGTAGTATCGTCAAGACCTGGTGCAACGTAGTGCCGGAGCGCATTAGACAGTAGCGCAAGACGCTGGGGAGGACTTTGAGGTGCTGAGGGGAGAAGGCCATGACGGTAGTCCGTTCGCCGTCATGGTAACTCCAGAGCTTTAAGCACCCCGCCACACACACGGCGTCTAATACTTATGTCATGTAGAGAGCGACTCTAGTTTGACATGCTGTCTGATGAGGCGATGTCCAGACAAGTGGTGACGATGGGCGACAAGTGGCGGATTTCGCGAGACGTATTTGACGCGGGCCGGGAGTGTTGAGATCGTTCATAGGGGTGTATATATCCTGCAACAAGTATATTGAATATGTCTGGGGCCATCGACGGAGTCCTAGTATCCAACCCGAACGTGGAAGAAAGCAACCTCCAGCCGCGCGGTGATGACGCCGCTGACAAGCGGCACTCGGTCCGATCAAGTGTGCCTCTGGACGCGGTCACCTGACTTATACTCAGCCTCGTACTCAACACTTATCTCTGTGGAGAGACTTTCCCTCCCCACTTCTTCGATCGTACTCTGACGGCGACTCATCACAAAAACCGACTCTCCCTTTGAAACAAATTGGCTTAGCACGACTAGGAGAGAGAGTCTGCTTGAGTCGGCCTCCGCGCCCGTCCATCCTTACGAGCCACCTATCTTTGATTTGGCTTGCGAGCACAAGTGTGACCCTGCATGAGCAGAATCAGACAAATATTCAAGATCTCTTCGACTCGTACGACAACACTGCGCCGGGCTGCTTAATCCACCGAATATGCAAAAGGCGATCTTTCAAAGATCCCGGTAAGTGTGTAGTGATAGTACTCTGCAGTGACACGGGGATACACAATTGAGAATTTGCCGGGCAGACGTTCAAGCAGCCGAAAGTGTATCAAGAAATGCAAGCCAGATAGGGCTTCAGAAGGGGAAGAGTTATGCTGCGGACAATCGATATGAGGGGGTAGGGCACTGTGGTATACAAAGATGAAGCGGGCCGGGGACGATTCCTACGAGGCTATATCACAATTCTTAGTCCAATTTACATGGTATACACTCAATCCTATCAACGCCGAAGGTCTCGTCCGCTGGGAGAGCGCAAATCATATCTGGGTCCAGACCTTACCATGGCCTGTCTCTGCAGATTGGTATCTCTCAACCCTCCATGCGGATGATGGTCGCGGGCGTCAACTCCAGACCTGTCTCTGCGCGCTATACCGGAAGAAAGCAGCATCTCAGAGCCGCTATGACGAGACGCTGAAGAGGATGCGGTCGTCGCAGAGCCCGCCAACGATCCCCGTCTCGCAGGCTTCTGCCGCGACTCGTCATAGGGCAGCGCGCGGGAAGAATACTCCTCCCGCGCTCTGTGCGACTCCGACGACCTTGCATCCGTCGCATGATGACGTCCGTGTCCTATTTCGGAGGGCAAGGGACGCGCACTCGTGCTCGGGGTGAAGGCAGGAGGCGGTGCTGGTTGATGTTGCGGAACGGCGGAAGGGTAGTACCCGCTTTGCGAGGGATAGGCGGAGTAGAGGAGAGGAGGGCTGGAGGTTATGTGATCGGAGTAGAGGGCTGGAGCGGCGCCATAGCTAGGGGACGCGGAGGAGGGGTTGAACGCGGGACCGGGGGTGACGGCGCGGCGGGCGGAAGGGGTAGCGCGCGCTCTCGCGCTCGTCGGAGGGAGTGGGCCGCGCGCTTGCGGTAGAGGTGCTTGCGGCCTACCGCCCGCATTGGCGGACGGGGCGTAGTGTAGCGGTGGCGAGTGTGATGGCTGGGGGGCATAACGGTATAACGGCTGGTTATGATAGAGCTGGTGAAAGCTCATACACCAGATGGCGAAGACGAATGGGGGATGGTGTTTGGTTGCAAGCGGGGGGATCGTTCAGGCGAAGACACCAGCTAAGATGTCTCGACCGTGAGCGGGTGCTGGCTGCTGCCAAACATCCTCCCATAAGCCTATATACCCTACGCTTTGTCCACTGTGGTCGTCCGTCTACACAGCTTGCGCCAGCGGGTCCAGGTTTTGTTCATTTCACCAGGGCAACCGGGTCAAACAAGGTGCACACGGAAGCAAATATCTGGACATGGTCCAAGAGGGCTGTGTCTGAACCACAGAGAACCACCGCGAACAAAGACGAGAGACAATCGTGCGGTGCGCGTTGGACCCGATGGGCGGTAATGGGCGCCGCGTCGGCTTTCGGCATGGGTCCAGATTTGGTGTGAGGCGGGAATGGAGAGTCATGTTGAACGGACGGGGGTGTCGTGAGGTAGGGATTTGTCCTGGTGCGTGTGCTGTGAGCGAGGCGCCCGTGGTCCAAGTTGAGGATTAGGCGCCGGGACGCACGTGTTGGCCGTGGCTCGCCCTTCTGAGAGGCGGACTTAAGCCAGGGATCGTCCAGCTCTGAGATTCACAAGCTCACAGAACTGGCACATCTCATGTATATCCTCGCAGCGAGACTGAGACCAGAAAACAAGGTAATGATGAATGGGACGTCACATTAGGGCGGCTATTATAGGGACAAGCAAGTCATCGCGCAACTGGCATGAAGCATCAAGAACCCCTCATCTAGTACTGTGCAGCGGCAGCTTGGCACTATATTTCGACAAGTCAGTGATTAACGCTTTTCGCACCATGATAAGGTTACTCACAGCCTTCAGCTGCTCAAGGTACCAAGAGCAGCTCTGCAAATCCGCCTTGTCCAAGCACTTCGTGAAGTCCTTCGCCTGCACCTCGCAACTGCTTCCACTCCAGTTCGTCTGTTGTACGGCCTGAGCCTGCTGTTCAACGGGTGCGGGTGCCGAGCTCGAGCCGCCGAAGAGCATCGAGGAGAGACCATGACCAATCGTGCTACCGACAGCGACTGAACCGGCGGTTGCGGCCATTTGCGCGAGCATTCCGGGACCCTGGGAAGGTGCAGCGTGCGATTGGGCGTGAGCGGGAGGTGCGGGTGCTGCCGGAGCGTGTTGGGAGGGCATAGCAGCCGTGCTGGCACCGCGGGAAGGAGCCGCGGGTGCGGGACGGGGAGCAGGGCGAGAGGAACCACGGGACTGGCGCTATATAAAGACTGAATACTTGTTCGCCAACAATGAGCTACACAAATAACTTACAGGCATAGCGAAGAGTGTAGAGGTGGTGGTGGTCGAGACGAGAGAGTTGCTGACAGCGACAAGTCGGAACGCGTCGATTTATGTTCGGGCCGAGTCGCCGAGGACGTGTCGCGTCGGCACGAATCCTTCTCTCGCGTCTCGCCAGCACTTTCACGAGCTCACCTCTTCCGACCATGTCGTACGCCGTGCCGCTGCGATTCGCGCGCCCGATGCGTTTACTACCATTACGCACGGCACTGCGCGCGCCGCAGCGGCGGTTCGCCAGCCGACGCTCAGCCAGCTCAGCCAGTCTTCAGACGGGCGTGACGCGGGACTCATCGAAGGAGGATGAGTTCGGACAGCTGGATGAGGATGGGAAGTTGGCGGCTATTGAGAAGGCGCTTAAGGTCGAGCATGTCTGGAAGCGGATGGGCTATGACATGTGGGCCGAAGCGGCCGAGACGTTGGGTGCGTATATTTCCTTTTCAGGCAGGGGTATGGCTTGTGTTGACAAGTATATGTGTTACTGCAGACGTGATTGTGCCGAGGAAGATTCACTTCTGGAGGAATCTGTTTACACGGTTCACTATTGACGTGCCAACAATACGGAGTAACTTCCTGAATGCTTGCAAGAATGCTATGGCGTACGTCTGGTTCTGGCCCCGTCTTCCCTGCCGCTCGCTTAACATATGTCTGTATACAGAATGTACCACCTCGGCATGGACCCCGTATTCTTTCGATCGAGCCATATCCGTTTCGCGCAATGGTCACCTTTGACAGCACCATTCCAAGTCTTCGGTGCTCGCCGGACCGACAGCCGAGCATGGTTGTACGAGCACAAAGATGCATTCGTACAGCTGTACAAGGAGATGTCCAGCGCAACTGTGCAGGGCGACTCGGTGGTGTTGAGGAGAGTCGCGAGGGATGAGATGTTGAAGAGTCTCGAGGCTACTGCAGCGGCATATGCGAAGGCAGCTGCACCGAAGGAGAGGAGAGAGTGGACTATGCACTCATTGAAGAGCGCGAAGGTACATCCGTTTTGACATCTGCGCTTGTGCTTGGTCGCTAATTTATGATAGGTCGAGTCTATCAGGACAACACCGATGATGATGAGCCACAAAATGCCAGAGACCGGCTCCCGCCTCCTCGTCCATGCACTCGTCAGGATAGAGAGCGAGCAGGTCTGTCTTGTTTTTGAGCCGTCTCCTTGACCTACCAGCTGACATGTTCACATAGTCTCTGCGCGTCACCGACCACAAACGCCGCCCATTACCTAAGGGCCAGTGGGAGCCTAAGCGTGTCGTCGAGCGCGTCATCTTTGAGCGCCGGTTATGGAACACTGGACGTGACGGCGAGTGGAAGGCAAAGGACAAGGTCTACGAGGAGGAGTAGATCGTTCAGTCGTACCTTCCATTGTTTTGCTTTTGGGTGGGGTGTGTGATAGGTTATGCGTCTATATAATTGCACATTTTTACTACCTTTGCTTCATAACAGTGCATGCTTCATTCCATACTTTGTCTATGCTCATTGTATGAGGACGTTAGCTCGCACCTGCGAGGTATGTAGCGCAAAGAAACACAAAGCCAGAGCCAAAGCGCGCGAGAAACGACTCGGGTATATCGGCCGACGCGTGATCGGATCAATTCGCGGGCGTCGAGAGCTGTCGGCCCGCGTCGCATCTCCTCTCCTTTCACCCTCATCAGTGCCCAATGAATATATACCTGCTCTATGCATTCGATGTCCTGTTTATCTTCATCATAACCTGACATAGACAGAAGGTCCGACGCAGATGATAGAGGTGGCAATTGGCGCTAGTCCCGCTCGATCAACGCTCGGTTCCGCAAGAATTCCGCCGGACATGGTCTGCGGTAGTCGCGCCAGGCCTCGAGGATGGTGGACGCGCTCCCTCCGGCTCCTGTGGGACCGGAAGTGCTCGTACACTGGACCTGCAGATAACAACCAAGTCCTGATGTGACTCGGAGCATTGTATGGATAGTTGATTACCCCGCTCTCTCCGGCACCGCCTCGTGCATTGTTTCGGTGTGTCGTCAATATGCGTGGGCGGTGCAGGTTAAAGAACCCGAAGGCGACCTCTATATAGAGATCTTCTGCAGCTGTACGCGCTTAATGGTCGCGTTGCTCCACCGTCCCCCCTTGAGCTCGTGGTCATGTCGCTTCCCCACCTGAATGCCACGCAGGAGGCCCAGGTTCTGGAGGTGCTCTTCAGGTCAACAGCAGCGTGGGATGCGCCGTTGATACTGCTGGAGAGCTTCATGTTGGGTACGTCGTATTATGGTCCAGTGATGAGCATTACTGATTGACTTGCGTAGGCGTTTTCTACGCCTGCGTGCCCCTCGCGACATACATGATCTGGTGCGCTGCAGTCCACTTCTCTAGGACAGGATAAACGTACTGACTTACACATGCAGGTCCAAATCGGTTGCCGTACCCCGTGTATCCTCCACCTTAATATTCTGGTTCGCGCTTGTTGTCACGACTGTACACTGGGTCCTATCATGGCGGCATCTAGAAGCAACGATGACCGGACGGTGCGTGTGTTGCTCTCCCTATACTATTCTCATTCTCAACCAGTGTCAATCTTCAGCACATTAGGGATCTCACTCTCAGATCCGGCTCTATGGGATGCCATCGATATAGTGGACGCCCGCCTCAACTCTACCAGCTCCGACTACGACCTCATCGGCTATTCTTACGTTAACTGGGCCGAAGCCTGGCAATACCTCCTCCCTCTAATAGTAGAAACAGCACTGTTCGGTGAGTCGGACTGTTCGATTACTAGAGTGCACAATGACTGATCCGAAACAGGTTTCACCTCTTTCTTATTCATACTTACGGCATATACATCCTTCCGGTATGTTTCGGAGCTCGCATGAGGCGCACGAACAGCATACTCATGCCCTAGCAGAAGATTGCTCTCTCAGCAGCGCTCTGGCTCTGCCATGATCATACCCGTGATAGCCTCCATAATGTACTTTTCGTCCCTAGCGCACTGGGCCATCTCCATTTGGAGCTTTACACGGCTCGCCTTTGCGACGGTCACCCCTGAATCGTTCTCTGTCGATATCAACTCCCCAAACCTGGGCCTTCTATTCTTGCTTTCCTTGAACGTACGTGCGCATCTCGACTCGGATCCAACGTGTGTATCAGTGTTGATGACCCTTTTCAGTCGGTCATGAGCGATTCTATCGTGCTCTGGCGCATGTTCGTCGTATGGGACCGAGCGCGACCTGCGCTTGCACTTGGCGTGGCTTTTCTTTCCGCGATACTGGGACTCAATATCGCGAACTTCGTCGGAACTGCGCGAGGCGTGTATGGAGACTTCGGCGGGAGCGGGTACAACTACCTTGACTTGGAGATTGTCTACACCTTTGGCACCAACCCCGTTGGTCTTGCTGCGGCGTTTGTCTCTCTCGCGAGCAACTTCTGCGCGACAGTGCTGGTCGCGATCAAAGCGTGGTGAGTCATATGCTCCTTCGTTCAGCACTCTGCGGCTTAACTGGTATCGCTCGAGGTCACATCAAAGGAAAGCTGCGAAGCATCTACGATCTGACGATAGTCGTACGATGGTTGAGCGATTCATGGAGCTCCTGGTGGACTCTGGGATTGTGTACACGGCGATATGGGTCAGTGTCAGTAACCCTACTGCAGATACTGGGCTAACTTGTACATCTATAGCTTCTCTACTGTATCAGCTTCTACCGGCCCATCACATCTCAGGTTGTCCTAGGTCAGGACCCGAGCGCCACCTTCCCCTTGGTCACAGCCGTGAGCTATCTTGACGCAGCCATGGCTCAACTAACGGTACGTGTTCCATAATACCACGGTCAACGAGCGATCGCTCACTCAATGTTGACTCATGTAGACCATCTACCCTCTCATCGTCTTCATCCTCGTCGCACTAGACAGGCTTCACCATTCACGGGGCCCGTCGATGGTTGCGCCCCGATGGAACTGGTCCGATCAGCCTGCTGTTGCCCTTAGCTTCGATATTGACGTCGAAGGCCACTTACCAATGACCCCAACCTCTGCCCATCCGATGATTGCGCTTTCGGATGTTCACCGCCCTCGTTCAAACGTGTCTAGCATGAAGTTCTCTAGTTCCGACTCACGATGATGTACCGCATGTACTTGTACTGACCTCCGCCTACTATGGACACATTCTTACGTTCAACGTTTTATTGCGATCTCCCAGTGATCTGGGCATATCCGTCTCAAACCTGGCCCTGCCGAAGAGGCGCAGGACTGACGCGCGGCTTAGGCTGTATAATTGGAGTACGTTCTTCTACAGGTCCGAGGACTGAGGGACGTCCAAATCAACTATTACTGAATGTAGACCTACAGACGCAAATCAGAAGGTTGAAAGACGTGCTGTCAAACCGTAGACTTATACGGCTAACACTTGAACCTTCGGGCTTCTGCAAACGCCATCTTTGCGTCAGGGATCTTGCTCGCGTTGAGCTGGTACTCTATCCCTAGCGGTGACTAAGCAATCTGGCTGACCCATTCAGAAAACGTTCAGAAGTCCGGTTCATAGAGATACCGACTATGCTACTGCTGCCCGTTCCAGCTTACTAATGTCCCGTCCAAGCGGGCGTTCCAAAGCAAGTGCCGACTCTAGGCGGAGTATGGTCGAGAGGATGACAGGGTTCGGGGTTCAAGTTCACACGAAGGAGCCCTGTGCAGGCTCGAAACCAGCCCGTACAACCCGAAAGGCGAAGGCGAGGACTCTGTCGGTATGCGTCGGAAGCATGCCTCAGTACGGTATATAAGGGTGTTCTCGACGATCGGCCTTTCAACATCTCATTTCGCCTCTGGGTCTCAGCTCATAATGACCATCTCTCAAACTGTCCCCAAGCTCTTCCAACCGATTAAGGTTGGGAACGTCGACCTCAAGCACCGCATCGTGCTCGCGCCTCTGACGCGTTTCCGCGCGGACGACAACCACGTACACACCGATCTCGCCGTCGAATACTATGCCCAGCGTGCGAGCACGCCGGGAACTCTGCTTATCACGGAGGCAACTGTCATCGCGCCTCAAGCAGGCGGCTATGACAATGCGCCTGGTATATGGAACGACGCGCAGATTGCCGCATGGAAGAAGGTGCGCTATATTCCGGTATACGTGGACCATAGGCTGAAGAGCACACCCAAAGATCACGGATGCCGTGCATGCGAAGCACTCGTACATCTATGTTCAGCTGTGGGCATTGGGCCGTGCAGCATACCCCGAGGTCTTGAAGAAGGAAGGGCCGTATGACGTCGTCAGCGCGAGCGACATACCCTTGGCAGATGCCGATCATCCTGGACATACTCCGCGACCGCTCACGGTGGAGGAAATCAAAGAGTACGTGCAGCTGTATGCGCAAGCTGCCAAGAATTCCCTTCAGGCTGGATTCGATGGTGCGTGTTGATTCGATGTCTCTTCCGCCGAGAGATGCCGAATACAATCTACAGGCGTTGAGATTCACTCGTCCAATGGATACCTCCTCGACCAGTTCATCCAGACCAACTCGAACAAGCGTAGCGACGAGTACGGCGGATCCATCGAGAACCGCCTCCGCTTCGTGTCTGAGGTCGTGCAAGCCATTACCGCTGTCGTCGGGGACGAACGTACTGGCATCCGCTTGTCGCCTTGGTCGCCGTTCCAATTGATGCGCATGCCCGACCCCATTCCCACGTTCTCCGCGCTCATCAAGCATCTCGCTGAGAACCACTCCAACCTGTCATATGTGCACGTCGTGGAGCCGCGCATCAACGGTATCACAGACTCTGAGGGCGGCGACATAGGCGGTAGCCAGGAGAGTAACGCTTTCATCCGCCCGCTCTGGAGCCCGAGACCGTTGATCGTCGCGGGCAACTTCAAGAGGGAGAGCGCGATCGATGCGGCGGAGAAGGAGAACGTGCTCGTTGCGATAGGCAGGCACTTCACCTCGAATCCGGACTTGCCCAAGAGGTGGCAGGTAAACGCGGAGTTGGCACCTTACGACCGTAAGACGTTCTACTCGAAGGGGCCGAAAGGGTATACGGATTGGGCGTTCTTGATGGCAGGCACCGAGTTGCAGATGGGTTTCGAATAGGGGGAGGACAGTGTGCTACTACACTGTCTACATCTACACTTTGCCATCGATACACATTACCTGTCTCGCTTCGTCCTCGTCATCGCTCGATTGCTGCCATTCCTGTATCTCCGCTAGTGGTCAAAGTTGTTTGGGCGACAGATCCAGTCAAGGCGCTGTATTCCAATAACTGCTATAGGGCCGCGAGCGGCAAGACCCGCTACGGCGGGCAAGTCCGGTTGCGAGCGACGCACCGCACGCGGTCCCATGACTAGTCACAGTAGTGGTTGTGCGCGTTTTGATTGAGAATGATGCTTGCAACCTTGCCCGGGGACAGCGGGAAATCAGGAGCAGCCGTTAGGCATGTATCGTAATATGCCCATTGAGCAATACTTGTACGTATCGCACCAAACCAGCACGCAGGGTGTCGTATGCAACTCCCGTCCTTGTACGTCATAATCAATCCGCCGATACTTTCAACCCGATTTTCCATTTCATGGCCGGCGAGGACGGCAAGCTGTCGAGCCTCATGCCACTTGACCCAATTCGCGTAGGGCATTGGCGGTAGAAGTTTCACCGACTCNAACATCATGGGAGGATGCGAGAGACAGGGAATCGGGTAACTTCATCGTCTCAATCTGGTTCACGAGAGAGGCGAAATCGTCTCGAAGTTGGGAAGGACCCGGTAGTGTAGAAGTGCTCGATGACGAAGGGACATGAGCAGGCATATTGTGCACTGAAGCGCGAGCGACAGCGATTGATTTATAATCAACAAGAATGGATCGTATGTAAAGGCAACTGTGCGTAAATGAACAAGGGCAAATTTCGCGGCGCAAATGATACTGAACATATTATCCATGTAGGTGAGGAGAGATGTGTATGATTTGGACAAGGAAATGCTGTCATCGGGAGGGGGGGCATGAGGGGAATGAAAAAATGCACCAGACAGGATGTGCTGTATGAGGACGGCACAGCCGAAGGCAACGATGGAAGACTGAGTGCGCATATAGCCCTGTGAGAGGAGAGTGTTGCAAATGATTGTGTCGGGAGCGAGAAAGAGGGAGCGTAGGGGAGATGCAAATGAAAGGATATCGTTTATGATGG